ACACGAAGGCAAACACAAAGATAAACAAAAGGTAAACACGAAGGAAGATACAAAGATGGAAGAAAGGTAGAAAGAAACATAGACATAATGATAGAAAAATAGACACGAAAGGTGGGACACAGAGTTGGGCAGAAATGTGGAAACATAGGTACACATAGGTACACAAAAGACACAACTGTAGAGAAAAGATAGACACAAAGGTAGGACAAAGTCAAGCACAAATGATGACAGAAAGGAAGACACAAAGCACAAAGCTAGATAGAAAGGTATAACAAAAGAGGTAAACAAGATAAGTGACACAAGATAGACACAAAGACAGACAAAAGGTAGACAAAAATGAATGACAAAAAGTAGACACAAAAATAGAGAAAAACGTAGACACTGAAAGGTAAACAAAAAGATTGACACAAAGTTAGGGAAAAATTAGTCATGAAAGTACAAACAACACAAAAACAGACCAAAAAATAGACATAAAGGTAAGCACAATGATGGACAAAAGGTAAACAAAAAGAAAGATCAAAAGAGAGACACAAAGGAAGACAAAAGGTATACCCAAACGTAGATAAAAAGTTAGACGCAAAGGCAGACACAATGGTAGACACAAAAAGATAGACATCATGATAGGCAAAAGGTAGATACAAATGTTGACATAAATTTAGATTGAAAGACAGACAAAAAGTTGGATACAATGGTATTCAAAACCAAAAGATACATATAATGTTGTCAAAAAGGAAGACAAAAAAGTAGATACAAAGGTATGCAAAAAGTTAGACAACAAGGTGGACAAAACTTAAAAAGTAGACACAAAGGTAGACACAATGGTAGAAACAAAGGTAGACACAAAGCTAGACAAAAAAGTAGACACTGGTAGACAAAAAGATAGAAAAAGGTAGACATAAAGGTAGACAAAAAGTTAGACGAAAAACGCGGACAAAATGTCATACAAGAAATTAAACAAAAAGGTGGACACAAAGGTAGACATAAATTTAGAAGATACGTAACGTTGAAAAGACCTCTCTTTTGATGAAGTGGAAACTTTTTTAAAATGTGTCTATTTTGGAGTTTTTTTTCAAGAAGCCGAAAAAGAATCGCAAAAAGCCCTGCGTGGTTATCTGTCGTACAGACGTAGGGTTAACTTTTTTCTCTTTTGTAGAGAAATCTAAAGTTTAAAGAGAAAGAGAAGAAAAAGCTAATTCGCCTTAAATAAAAAAATAATTTACCTTTCGTCCCTCGGGATGTATTCAAACGTTGTAAATGGTACACGCCAAGCAACAGCAGCTACCTAAAAAAACGTCAAAAAGTTGAGCGAGTGCGTCAATGCATTAATCGATAATATCCTTAATGTAACAATACATGAGTTTGGTGAACAGTCACATATGATGTTGATGTGCTGAAAACGTCGTTCAAAGTCTTTGTACAATTTGTTAACATGTCGGACAAGCTTAGTTAGGATTTCTTTTGGCAGTGAAACGTCTTCATCACAGCTTCTTATGTATTAAAGAGAGCAGCTAAAGATGGTTGTAAGATGAAGAAAAGGTGTTTTATTAAAGATTGAAAACACGGATTACTTGGATTGAGCAGTCGTACAACGCTACTGGCTGAACTAAAGATGATGTGTCGATCGTTGTTGACAGATTATGTTCAGAGTTGAGTTGACTCACTTCACCTCGCGTATGCTCAACATGACGATGCGGCCAAATATTTCGAAAACTCTTTTTAACTTCTCCAGTTTTTTCGAGGCGATCAGAAACTCGTGGCTCATGATTGTCAAGATCTTATGGCTGCAAGTATATAATAAAATTACATACATGAGTACATGAAAGCTACACGATATCATGAAAAACCATTTACCTTTATGACAAATATTTGAGATCTCAATTTGAAACTTACACGTAGAGAGGCAGCTACATCACGTATACAAAAGACTTTGATACTTCGCTGTAACAGACTAAAAGTTATACACCAAACTTATGGTAAGGTATTAACAAGTAAAACTTTGATACTTTACTGTAGCATTTTCATCACACATCATTACAGATAAGGAGAACGCAGCTCGAGACAAAAAATGAAATACCTGTTGGCAAGTACTAGTCAATACTGCAAGTACTAAGCAACAATAGCAAGTATTCCACAATACTGACAAGTATTATGCAATACTATCAAGTACCATACAACAGAAGCAAGTATTCCAAAATACTGGCAAGTACTATACAATACTAGCAAGTACCATACAACAGAAGCAAGTATTCCACAATACTGACAAGTACTATGCAATACTATCAAGTACCATACAACAGAAGCAAGTACTCCACAATAGCAAATTTAACAGAAAGCAATTGGGATAGTCGTGGGATTAAGCAATATGTTCATGAAAACAGTAAACTAGATCCGCTATATATTCGGCGAAATAACGAATAAGAAATATTTAATCCTCAGTAAAAAAATTCAGAAAACTTAAAAAACAATGAAATGTTTTGCCCAAGTATTAATTAAAAAAAAGATAACGTCTCAAGACAAAAATTTTTTAGTCTCAATTGCTCGAACAGACGTGTTTAGAAATGGCAGATAGCTGCAAGCGAATATCACGATAGTTTTCAGCCCAGAAACTCATTTCTGGACTTTCTACCATCATGTGCAATTCTTGCCGGTCAATCCTCTTTCCACTCCAATCGAAATCACCTTCACCCTCCTGACGAGTAACGGGGCACCAGCTTCATCCAATCGGATAGCATCGGCTGCCGGAGATTGACGGCCATCTGTGATAACCACAGCGACATTCGGGAACGAAGATCGCATTCCAGCTCTTCGCGTAAAGAGATCAGAATTCGCTAGTTTCAAGGCTAGATCGATACGAGTTCAGCCACGAAGATGAGGTAAGAGGTTCAGTTGAGTGGTGAGGTCATTTCTTGAATAAATATCATTAAATGTTGATGTAATGTTTGCAGTATCAATATAAACCATTAAAGCAATATGCGTCTTCCGCCAAGATATTTCTAACGTGTCTGCAATCATCTCAACAAGGTTTTTCGCTTCAGTAAATTTGTCGTTTAAAATACTACCAGACGAATCCAAAATGAAGGCTACATCAAGAGTTCTCTTGCAAGGCAATGGTGCTATAAGAAAAAATAGTAAAATAACCAATATGATTAAGAGGCTATGGACATGACTGGGGCCATCAGCAGGGATGACATTGGCAAAACAATATGCATGTTTGTCAGAATAAACATATCAAAAGAGTTCAAGACGGCTCAACAGATTAAAGCCAAGATGTATATTGAACACGGCACATATTTGTTCCAACTAAAAAAGAAGTTTTAGAGAGGCAAGTGTTTGATGGCTGCGTGACCACGAGAAATCATGTCTTATTGAAAAACATATAACGTCTAGCATAAAATTTGAAAGAACACACAAAGATTGGACTGCTATCTGGTGGTCAGAAGCAATTTCAGGACAAATCACGATTTCTACTTTAAAAAATTTGACCGAAGAATTGTAAAAAAAATAGAAATATGACTGACAATGGTCATAAATATCAACGAGTTATGGATTGCAGTAAAGGCTGCTGGGTAAGGCAGTCCGATAAATAACCTAAATGTGCGAAAGATTTAAAGCAACGATTAAATCTTTGGCGGATGCACTATTTATCGAAATTTTTGGTTGTTTGTGACTGGTATACCTATAGCTATGATTATTTCTATGCCCAATTGGTTCTTCTGAACCTCAAACGCGCGAGCAATAAAGTCAACAAGATCGTAAAAGACAAAGTAGCTACACATCATACTTACAAATCTTTGAGCAGACATCCTTAGTAAAAGCAGGAATCATCTGACTTAAAGTATTAACGGTATTAGGTACAAAGATATCCCTAGGTGATCCTGCAACGCGCTCAAGATCGCTAGCACGACTCGAGCTCAATAAAAATTGCCCTGCTCTAAACCATTCAGAATTAAGAAATTTTTCATGTATAAATAATACACGTGAATACTTATGTTTATAAATTACGAATTGTTTTTACTTCATATCTGTTATCCTTCTGATTTTGGCATCAGATCTTCAGAATTCATACGACTGTATCGCCTCCTCGATTCCTGGAAAAAAGGGCGAGAATCTTCCACAGTTGGTTCATTCTCTTTGTTCTTCTGTAAAGACTCCTGGCTGTCTTTACAATCCAGTTAAATAATTCCAACAGTTCATTTAATTATAACAGTGACGTAGCCAGCCTCTATCATTGGGTGAGAGCTCGTAGACGCATACCTGACTCATGTTGCTAACCGTTTAATTAATTTCGAAGAGTACAATGCAGCGATAATTTACCGTGTGTATATGTCACTTTTAAATTCTGGTATAACTAGCTGCCTTAAAAACGCTGGGATTGACTTAAACAACCTACCAGAGGTGAATGAGTTATTTGATGAAGACAACCCAATCTCAAATCCTTTTGCTGGTATTGACCAAGAGTATCTCCAATATGAATACTACAAGAAGGAGTTTAATCTTGTGGTAAGTTGTAAAATTGGTTTAGAATATTATAAAAAAAGTAATCAAAATTTTACAATCAATATTTCACTTTTTAGGGACAACAAAAGATTGTTCTTGGAAAATACCACACAAAGAAAAGAAGAGGAAATAGATTGAGAGATGTCGAAAAAACAGATGATGCATACTATATTCCCTTGTTGGAAAGTCTGCAACAGCTTCTTAATGATGAGCCAATTCTTAACGAGGTTTGTGTTGATTACATCTGCATGTGATGTATGTATATAATTGTCCATTGAACACAATGCTGAATATAGAAAATTTTAATATTACCATTGCCTTAGCTTTGTTCTGCACATGACAGTATCCGATCCAATTTTGTGTAGGTGGAAATTGGGCCAGGTGCATTTCTTAATGATTTCTTTCATTCAGATACAATATATAGTTATAGCTCAATGGTGCATCCATTATCCTGAGTTGGTTTTATTTTTTATGTAAGCTACAGCTACAGTAATTATAGAAACTTATGTTCGTCTTTCTGAAGGTAAAACATTATATGTTGGTGATGTTGAAGAGAGTGGGCTCATTCGAACGAATCTCCTGAAGTGAACAGACAAACACCATTGTATAGGTAAGTCAGATTGATGTAATTAGTCAGGTGACTGAAATATCTTCATTGTGAATGATGAAATTGCTTGAAATTGCTCTTTATTTACTTGCTTTTCAGTAAAGTTTATGTACACAATTAATTGCTGTGAACTAAATAATATTAATATTTTTCCTATTATAATTTTAGTACCAAATGGATTACTATCAATGGAACAAAATATAAAGTAGGAGCTACTGTCCACATTGGTTATGATTATGTTGAATTTCCCCAGTTTTGGGAAGTTATTGGTATTTATATCATTAACCAAAATGTTGCAAATGCCATGTTTGGTATTTCAAGAAAACAGACTGTCAGGTTTTCTGAACATTATCAGGCTTATGAAGTTGCTCAGTCAAAACAGAAGGAAATTAAAATTAAATATTTTAAAGAGTTAACCTCACATTTGCCATTTAACTTGATAAAGCCATTTGGGTGTAACACAAAATACATTTGCCATAGATATGAAATAGATGTAGAATAAATTTTACTTTCCTGAACACAGCATATTCATGCATTATCGTAATGTATATATTATGGCCTTTCAAAAAAGCTGATTATCTTTGGTATAAATTATTCTATTTACTGTTTAACCTGTGTACTTATTATCAGTGAATGATTTAAAGGGGGGGGGGGCAGGTGCACAGGGGTGCTCACCCATCTATGTTCTGGTCAACACGGTTGCATTTAGGTGTGCCAAAACGGTATTTCTTATTAATTTTAGGTTTTAAAGAACTCACAAAGCCAAGGTTCCCTCTATAAAATCCATGCTTAATCCAGCTCTGGTTAATATAACATATGTATTGCCGCTATTTTTTACGAAGTTTTTAAACTGTTTAAATGAACGCATAAGTCAACTGTTCTGTTATCCGTGTCAGAACGAAAACAGCTGCAGTTTGATATAAGTATAAAAATAAGTTAAAAAAACAGTTAAAATAAGTGTTATTTTGACACCCATGATTTTACAAGGAGAGTGGTGCAGAAATAACGCCCTTTATAAATTATTGTAACTCTTGCTAATGGTGTTAATTTAACACCAACCACTTAACACCAAAAAAACAGTGTTACTTTAGCACCTTTGTGGCAGAACAAGGTGCTATTTCAGCACTATTAATTAGGTGTTAAAGTGTTGAGGTGTAAATTTGACACGCTACAATATGTTTAAGGTCATATGTTGTTAAATCAACACCAATATTGGTGTTATAATAACACCTTTTATTTAACACCACCGGTGGGTGTCAGTTTAGCACTAGAGAAAGTGCTAGTTTAACACCTCAAAAATAACAGTGTATATGTCACTATGTGACATAATATGACATATAAACAAGGTACGATATTGTAATACTAATAACTTGCTTATGTATCGATAAAGAAGAATATAGCAAGGTTTTCTGTTTAAGGAACAAGTTCTTTTTTTGAGATGTTTCTTTATATAAATAAAAACGCTAAATATACAGTGGTATGAATACTATAATGACGTTATCACTTGTCACTTTTGTAACTTCATATTCTTTCCTTCATTCGACACCTCCCCCAAGCTAGAATTAAAAATTATGACTATAAGTTACTATCGAAGGAAAAGTGCTAGCCAAACATTGCTATAGGCTTAGCTGAGTGGTTTCGTGTTCAAGCTATACATTGCAATTTAGCTTGGATTTACTAATTTTCTTCAAGACAGGTCTGGTGGTGGTGAATGTTAATTGGCGTGATATGAACGATAGATCGAACTCAGACATTTTGTACATGTGTGTGCCTTTAAAATTAAACATTGTGTTGGCAAGGTTTATTTCAATAAACTTTGGGCTGTTTTTCATTTCATGTAATTTTTTGTTCAAAAATACGAAACATTAATCTCTGCTAAAAATATTGTTTGAATATATATGAAATTCACATTTAATTCACCAGAGATTGTGTGGTAATCGATTTCTCAGTAAATACTGAAAATAGAAAAGTTCTTCTTTCAATAACCACCCTTAAAAGCAAACCTTCCAAGCACTCCAATTAGGCACATCAGAAAGAATACTTCTTTTGATTAGAGCTATGCGACTATGTCGATGATATTTCAGGGCACGTGTGTCAAAATTTGACGACTGACTTTTATCGTGGATGGTGGTTTGGTACGTATACCATGTGGATCATATTGGTTATTTCAAAGTTTATAGAGGACATTGGCGGGTAATGTGATTATAGTTATGATTGCATGGATAAATGTGACTTTTTTATATAGGATCATAAGTTTTTTAAATGTATGCCATTGCATTTAATAAACGCAGTGTTTTGGGAGATGTACCCAAAGGCCAGGAAATTAAAAAGAAAACGTGAATATTCCTGATAGCCATAATAAATAATATTATGACAAAATGGCTTTGCTTGGCTTCAAATGTGGACACTGTTTTTTTCCAAAACAAAACAAAATGGGAGGGAAAACCAGTGGATCCGGGAAAAAACCCTCCAATAATAAAAAAGATCAAAAATTTAGAAAAATTTTCTTAAATTTTTGTAGTTTTAAGATGTTTCCTTTTTATGTTGTTTTCAATGATCCCGATGATCTATTTAAATATGCTGCAGCGTAGTCAGATCGTGCGTCCTATATAGCCGTATGAAAAATTTGAATTTACAGAGCGACAAGAAAGCGGACTGACTACCCTATTGACACAGCAAATATTTTGTGTTCAACAAAAGAAACGCAAACTTTCGTAGAGAACAAAAAATGAAAGAGTGCAAAATATTAACAAAGATTTTGATAAATAGACGAAAAATGAAAATTAAAAGCATCCCATAAAATTATATGAAAAAATTATTCAGTACGTACGACATGACCATTCATTTGTCAATAACAATGAAAAAATGAAATGACCAAAGTGACGTCATGACTTGCATAAAAATCATTTTTCATGTCTACTAGACTTCATTCAAAATTTCTATGTTGCTTCTTTAATACCTTCATTAACAGCTGGCTTTCACTCACGTGTTTTGTCAGAAAATTTAACAATTGTGAAGATTTAGTTTTAAGCTGTTGTACTTGAAAATGCGTTATACTGATAAACGTTATGCATAACAAAAGTGTGATTCTTTCTACAAGGACGCTTGTTTCTTGGTGCTTCTGTCGGACTTGGTCGTTCATTAATTGTCCAGTTAGTAGGAATACAGAAAAAGTCACTCTACAAAAAACACGTTGTAAATGTCAGCAAAATGAATTATCAAGAACAGAAATTAAATACATTGAAAAGAACAAAACTTTTATACCTGATTTCCAAGCGTTGTCCTGGTCCGTTTGATCCAGGCGACTTGGTCGGTCTCTTCCTATTTTTTTCACCGCGCAATTTTTGTGTGTATGTCGTAGAAATATATGGTAGCATTTTTATTTGCGAAATTCAATGACCCCTAGCTACTTGCAGCATTGCAATTTTCGTTATGAACGTTAAATGTAATTATCAAAAAGTAGTGAATGAAAGCCAGCTATTTTCTCACAGCAAGTGACATCCTTCGTTAATAAACAAAAATTGACAAATTTTGTCATGAAAAACCGACTGTTTTTATTTTATTTGGGTGTTTTTCATGATTAAGGCTCAAATTATAGAAATAGACCATCAGGATCCTTTTTAACTATCTCATGCAGATACTCATACAACACTTATTTACTCAACTTACAAACCACAAGACATGAATCGTGTTTTTCCACTCGCTTGTTTTCCATCTTCGTAGAACATATTTCGTTTTTTTAGTCCAGTAATTTCAATATTATGTTCATACGTAAATATGCCAAAGTGATGTCCATTCAATGCCTTTATACCATTCCATAAACAAAGTACTCAACATTGTTAACCAACAAAGTAGCTAGTGAAATCATGAATCGCCATTTCGACAGATTACAATTTACAATGCACTCTTATGGTAAGTTTCAAACAATCGAAGACTTAACATTGTGGTCAAAGCATTTTACAGTGAAAGCTTTCATATTACGAGGCCTGCACAAAGACTAGTTGATTGCTCCACGTAACTCATACTTCTTTATATCGTCAGTAAAAAGAAAGATTTACCTTTCTTTCTACAACGTTAAAGTGACTAATTAACCGTTGAAGTGAAAAAAAAACTAAATTATATTCTTTAATTGACGTCATGATTAGAATTTTTTAATGTGATTGGCTCCTTAGGAGCTTATCACCTTTCACAAAGACAAATTCAGTGTACTTATATTCATTGCATATATTCAGTAATGAATAATGTGACATTGAAGAAACAAACTAAAAATCAGCAGCATGAATAAAAACCAATGCGATTTTCACAAGAACAATAGAATCAAGAAGCAAATAATTATTTAACGTCAATGTAGTTACTTACGTTTGTACTCACTTGACTTAGTTTCTCCTCTACTCTTGGTATCTGAACAACCGAATTTTTTCACAAATATCGGAAAAATCCTCTTGCTGTTGATCGGATTATGCCAAAATTATCGGCTATTACCGAGTAGTGTTGCAAACACTAACCAATCTTTTTCTTTCTTCTTTTGTAGCGACTTCAGTCCTACGAGCGTATTTTTCTATGTTCTCAAAACGTTTCTTTAAACTCAAAGATTCCAATTCTTGTTCAGTTGCATTCACAGATGTTGGTGGTCTTGATTTTTTCATCAAAACATTCAAATTCATCGGCAATCAAATAAGACGATTTTCGGTAACTTGTCGTCGATGACAGTTGAAGCCAACAACTTTATTTTACTATGCATAATCAAAAATCTTTATACTTGTCGCCTATGTGTATAGTCTTGTTCCATGTTTTATGAACAACATCTGCTTTCCATGACGCCTCGTGACTTGTATGAGGCAAAACTTGAAGTGAATAGTACCTTTATACATGGTGTTAAGCATGTCATTATATGTATTTGTTCCACATGAATTGTTCGTACTTGAACAAATTATCGGATAAGTATCAAATCTAATTTTTAAAAACAAAACGTATTGTTGCCAAACAAAAGAACTGTGCTTTCCGCTCCCTTCATTAATAAACGTAAAATGCAAATGACAATTGACCATTTTTCTGTGATATTACGCAAATCATTAAACCATAAAACAACGCAAATATGAGTTTGGGCATTAAGATGTTGGTGACGTCAAGTTTTGAAACTTTTTATTAACGTCGAGACGTGTTGGAAACGATTGTTTATCACTATGAACTTGAAAATTGTTGTTCAATTATAGAAATGGTGAAATAGTTCGAACTTTTGCGGCTGCGCAAATATAGACTATATAATTACAATTGGTTCTGCTCGTTCGGTGAGCGACGAGCTCACATAAATTCATCGATCATTTTTATTTAATTTTTGTGGGTGTTAGCAGGCGATCAGACACGATGGTCAATTTTGATCATAGCTTACCATGGATTTCCTAATGCAAATTATTTTTTATTGAAATTCAAGGTAAGACAACCTAAAATAAATGTAGATTAACGTAGAAGACAAGCATTTTTTGAATAGCAAGAACTAAAGAAGCAAATCACATAAAATAGACTAAATACATGAAGGCGTTTCATATTCCTTACAAGAAATATCCGCAGCTTTTGTATAAAAATGAAGACAAAAAATATGTATAGGGTCCGAATTTTTTCCATGCCAACTCCACTCGATGTTCCGGTGCGAATCCTGCCTGTTTCCTTGAAACATTCTATGCCTGATCAAAAGTCCACTACTATCAACGTGAAAGACAGAAAACAAGTGACGCTGGTAAATAATAGAAACGTGAAGAAAAGATGTGAATGAGAAACGTGAAGAAGAGAGGTGAAGGAGCGATGTGCAGCTTAGAAGATAACACGATATGTACTTTTTATATTTTCTTAATTTTTGCGAAAAATTTTGGCAAGTGCTATTAGAGCCCGCACTTAATTGCACCGAAGCCGGCGTATTTCGCTTGACGTAAATCACACGATATTAAATTGCTTTGAAATTTCTATTTAATCTATTTGTTTTAAATATTTTAATAAAGAGCGCTTCATCCAACGCAAAAATACCAGGGTGGATCTTGAACCCACAGACAAGAACCTCGAAAATAACGCTGACAATGAGCGTGTTTCGCTCGACCTAAATCGTCTCGATAGTATTTGGATTTGGAACCTTTATTTAATATTTTTTATGCATTTAAAAAAAGAAAGCTCCAGTTGCTACGCTGCGTTAAGCCCAAAGATCATGCCATAGGCCGCCCTGGCGTTAGTAAGGTTTGTATTCCAGAAATATAACACATTAAAACTATTTTTTCCTGTCAAAATTACACATCTTGTTAAAATCATGCGCTACCACTTTGGGGAAATCTCTAACCATAGTGACTACAGTTTCCATAGTAGCATATTGTGGTTAACGAGGTGGAATGAGTTCCTAAGGATTTGCTGTTTCAGCATTTCAGACAACAATGGAATCAGTACGAAGAATCATTGACAGTCAATCATTATTATTAAATAGTCTACTGTCTTCAGCCTCGTTTTCATTCACAGAAATTGTTACATCATCATGAACGACCACTCCATCCTTTTCTTCGTATAGATGCATTTCACTATGCTGTCTCTTTAATTCATTTAATTCGGGATCGTTCTCCCTTGCTTCTGTCTCTTTGTCAAAATCTTCTTCAGAATACTTCAAATCATCAACGACACCATAGTCACTTGCATTCGGTACACTGAATCTCTTATTATCGTTTTGTACTCTTCCCCAAGACTTTCGCTTAGACTCAGCTCTTGTCTCCTCTGAATTAAAGGTTTCTATACTCTCACTGTAACCTATTTAAGAAAATACAAAAGTACGTAAAGGCAACAGCATCTCCACTACTTACAATGTATGTCAATGTAGGTAGTGATGTATAAACAACAAAGAACAAGAACAGTCTTTAAATTACCTAAAATATAAACTAAGATGACGTGTGTCAGTGTAGGTAGTAATGAATGAACAACAGAGAACAAGAACTGTCTTTACATTAACTAAATTATAAACTAAGATAACGTTTGTCAGTGTAGGTAGTGATGTATGAACAAAAGAGAACGAGAACTGTCTTTACATTAACTAAAATATAAACTAAGATAAAGTGTGTCAGTGTAGATAGTGATGAATGAACAACAAGAGACAGAGATCAGTCTTTACACAACCTAAAATAAAAACTAAGATAACGTGTGTCAGTGTAGGTAGTGATGTATGAACAACAGAGAACGAGAACAGTCTTTACATGGCTTTGAAGTGTGTTTGTGGAAAATTCAGAAAAATTTTTACAAATAAGAAATGTTACCTCGAAATTGAGTAGTATCGTTTTGTTTATCTTGACTCATTCTGACATATTCGATTGATCTACGGTTCCTTTCTATTGTAAACTCGTTTTGAATCGCTAACATTTTATTTTGCAAAACAGCATTCTGCTTTTGCAGTTCTTTCACCATTTCAATCAACGCTGACATGTCTTGTTTCTTTCCCATTTCTTCCCGGCTCTCATCGACTACATTGGTAGAAAAATCAGGACCGTAAAATATATAATCCCAAACGGGGCGGGTAAAGTTGTATGTCTTGTTGGGTCTCTCCTGTAAACAAGGTATGAGTGTTTTTTTACTTCGCCATGGAAATGAAGACCTCTTCCGTTCTATGTCAATTATCATTTTCGCCTAAATCGATTAAAAGAAAAATGTTATAAATGTCATAACGATTGCTTTTATTCACCTCATTCATTCATCATCACCTACACCGTTATCTTAGTTTAAGTAGTGTAAAAATTGTCCCCGTTCTCTGTTTTCATTCATCACTACCTACAATGACACACGTTATCATAGTTTATATTCTAGATAGTGCAAAGACTGTTCTCGTTCTCCATTGCTCATTCATCACTACCTACACAGACACACGTTATCTTAGTTTATATTTTAGATACTGTAAAGACTGTTCTTGTTGTCTGACGTTCATTCATCACTAACTTCACTGACATACGTTATCTTTAGGATCTAATTTAAAAGCTTCATGAATATCCTTACCATGTGAATGTGTTTCTGCAGCTTAGCATGTTGCATAATGCTATTGGTATCATCAATGGCAAGGGCAAGCAGAAGGTTCATAATAATGATAGGCATAACGACAAGAAAACCAACGAAGAGGACCAACTGTAGTGGATAAAATGTGTCGTAATCAGAGTAGTCACCGAGAAATGTCTGTTTAAAATCAAACTCTCCCATCGTCATCGTTGCTCCAGTTAAGATAGACACGCTAAACCCCTCAAATCCCTGTCTATCATTCATTATTACTGTAAAAGCAGCAGCAAAAGCGACCAAGAAAAATATTAAAAGACCCATGACCTAAATAAGAATTGCTGATATCATTAAACATTAGGGTAGAGGGAGAACTCATAACTTCAGCAGACGAACCTTGATTAGTGTGTAGGAAATTTTCTTATCATGAGAATAATTATACCGTAGGAGGCAAACCTTCTTAGATACATAATAAGATTCATCCAAGCACAGAATAACGCTACAGAACAGGCCATCCATTGAAAACTTGTTTTTACAGACATACTGTCGTTACTTGGTACAGCAAAGATGAATGTTGATACGTAGAGAACACATTCCAAATAGTTGACTTTGTCCATAAAATAATTGAATTTGTAAACGAATAACTACATTATTAAATAGAGTATGTCAATATCAAGAGATCAAATTAAGCGTAGACATATTTTGTAAATTCGTTTTTAACGATTTCGCAATTCTTATACAGGGGAGAGGAGAAAAAAATCAGCCCTATACACAAAATTATTGTTATAGGTTCGCATCTCGTCATTTCTTAGAGAAATGTTATAGAAATGAAGTATTGCTGTTGAAGAAAGAATGAAACAAATAGTAATGCTGACATATAAAACCGTAATGTTCATATAAATCTTATAAAAACTTATAAATCAATAAAAACTTATAAAAATCTATCCGGCATACTTAAATCTTCTGGAACCGTAAATGTTAACAAAATACATACATTATTAAAAACTCATTTTATAAAAAAGTATTAACATAAAGCTTTGAACTATCTATTTAAATTACTATAATATACTTATATTTTGTTAAGAAGTGCACGACTGCTATATTCGTCTTTAGTGTTTTGAGATGGTTTAATGGCATTAATGATTTGCTTACACAGAATGGTGCACAGAAATACCAAAATACGTATATCGTTTTTATACGGTTGATGGCTTTATAAGTAAACGCATGCTTTCAGGGATATTAGTGAAGGTAAAATGTGCTCTTTTCTATTTAAGATAAAATGTGCTCTATCTATTCTATTCCTTTACTGACATTCACACTTTCTTATAATTTCAAATTATCTTCTTCACTAACCACCTCCCAAAGTTTTCATTGATAATTTTGAAAAGGATAAGAATTACAATAAAACAATTTTTGTTTCAGAAACACTTTCACAGCTAAACGAGCAAGCAACGATGTACAACAAGGTACCAATGATGTACAATGAAAAAACAATGATGTGCAATTAGAAAAAAACGATGTACAATTAGAAAAAAATGATGTGCAATTAGAATGAAACGATATACAATTAGAAAAAAGCCATGTACAATGACAAAGGAACGATGTACAATTAGAAAAAGACGATTTACAATGACAAAGGAACGATGTTCAATGACAAACAAACGATGTACAATTAGAAAGAAACAATGTACAATTAGAAAAAATGATGTGCAATTAGAATGAAACGATGTACAATTAGAAAAAAGCGATGTACAATGACAAAGGAACGATATACAATTAGAAAAAGACTAATTACAACGACAAAGGAACGATGTTCAATGACAGACAAACGATGTACAATTAGAAAGAAACGATGTACAATTAGAAAAAATGGTGTACAATAAAAAAGCAACGATGTACCATTAGTGAAAAACGATATACAAGTAGAATGAAACGATGTACAATGACAAAGCAACGATGTAGAAGATAAAAAACGATGTATAATTAGAAAGAAACGATGTAAAATAATGCTGACCTTTACAAGAATTTGTATGCAACTCATTTACCGGTAGCAATCTCATCTGTTTTTCGGTACAATAACCTGACGATCAACATGTCATATGTGCCTAATCTTCAATCCGGGATAACAATCTGTAATTTGAGACTTCCCTGAAATGGCGATTTCGACTTAGCTCTGACTTCCAGGATAAAAAAGCAATAATCTTCGTGATATGCTTGGAATGTATAGAAGGCTTACTTTTAAAGGTAGTGAAGGGAGGAAAACATTTCCTAATTTCAACATCTACAATGAAAATTACCATACTTTATCTCTGTTCGAATGTCAATTTGGCATAAATCGACAAATATTCATGACGGAGATTGAATTTTTATATTTTCAAAGAACAAATAATATGAGATGAAAAACAACACTAAACTTACTCTTATTATGCATTGTTTCAAAGTGATTAACGTTGTTTTGCTGACATATAGGACTGGCTATATTTCGCCTACTTACCTACTTTCCTCGTTTCTTCCACGCAAAACACGTTTTCAGCCGTATTTTTCCGTCTTGAATGCTTTTCTTGTCAAGTTTTGAATGCATTCAACGATTCTTAAACATTTTCATGGTCATTGATGACAAAATAAGATTTCATCCCAGTTTTGCTAAAAGAATAAATAGACATTTTGCAAAACAGACATTATCGGTCGAATTTGCCGCCATTCCGAAGTGTCATCGCTTCTCTGCTCGCAATAAATAACATTCCTCGGTATTTAATCTTGAGTGTAGTAATGCAGTTTTCAGTAAAAGCTTTCATATTACAAAGCCTGCACCAACACTAGTTCATCTTTCCATGTAACTTGTATGCTTCGTCAGTAAACGGACAAAATTTAACTTTCTTTCTACAACGTTAAAGCCATTAAAATTTTCCGTTGAAGTGAAAACACACTAATTTAAGTATGTTAACATTTATTTAATTGACGTCACGACTGAAATTTTTATTGTGATTTGCACCTCACGAGCATGTCATCTTTCACAGATACATTAAGTAATCCTCCAATGCATTTGAAGGAAAAAAATTCCATTAAAATCTTCAGACTTATTTGGGTTTTAATGTCATTATTATTAAAAGTAACGATGATTTTATTTTCCAGTTTATATAGAGTTAGCTATAGAAAAAGGGGAAAGTTTGAGAGAAACGAGAAATTGCGTGGCAATTTTATTTCCAAATCTCACTAGAAACTATGATGCTAATGATTATTAATAATATACATGAAAAAATTTCTTAATCCTGTTGATTTTTAACTTCAATGTACGTATGCATTTCAGCCGGCAAGTTATTAATACCAATTTGCACCTGGTATTTACTATAAATTGCCCTGCTCTAAACCATTAAGAATTGAGAAATTTTTCATGCATGAATAATACACGTGCATGAGTACTTATGTTGGGAAATTACGAATTGCTATTATTTTATATCTGTTGTCCTCCTGATTTCGGCTTCAGATCATCAGAATTCATTTGAGTATATCGCCTCTACGATTCCTGGAAAAAACGGCGAGAATCTTCCACAGTTGATTCATTCTCTTTGTTCTTCTGTAAAGTTTCCTGGCTCTGTTTACAATCTAGTGAGACAATTACAACAGTTCATTCAATTATAACAGTGACGTAACCAGCCTCAATCATTGGGTAAGAGCTCGTAGACGCATACCTGACTCATGTTACTAACCGTAATAAGTTATTGACTGATTACAATTAATTTTGAAGAGGATACAATACAGCGATAATTTACAGTATGTGTCAATATGTGACATAAAATGACTTATAAGCAAGATACGGTACTTAATTCCGCACACTACAATATTCTTGAAGTTCCGCCTGCTATAGTATCCGCTATTGCATTAGATTTATATCGTGATGTTCGTGTGAAAACATGGAATTGAATATTTATACATGACAACAAATCAAAAATCAAAATGGAAGTTTTTTTTTAGGAAAATTAAGATACGTTTAGTAATAAAGCAATTTTAACTTGAAACTGCGAGGAAGCAGATTGTTATATTTTGCTCATGCATATACTTGCCTGGTTTACAGTTTTCGCGCTTCGACATGTTATCGTTCTTCCCAATATTTTCGAAAGCCTCGTCAACTGGATCGGACGAAAAATCAGGTCCATAAAATATAATTTCCCAAAACTTATGAAGGAGGCCGTGCTTCTTGTTGGGTTCTTCTTTTACGAACATTTTGCTTTGTTTAAAACAAGTTTTCATCCAAGGTATGTACTTTTTTCTTTCGATATCGATAATCATTTTCGCCTGAATTGATCAAAAAAGAAATCTCGTTCTCTGTTTTTCATTCATCATTCCTACATTGACAAACGTTATCTTATAGTTTATATTTTAGATAGAGTATAAACTGTTCTTGTACTTTGTTGCTCACTAATCACTACCTGCACTGACGCACGTTATCTTAGTTTATATTTTAGATAGTGTAAAGAATGTTCTTGTTCTCTTTTGCTCATTCATCACTACCTGCACTGACATGCGTTATCTTAGTTTATGTTTTAGATAGTGTAAAGACTGTTCTTGTTCTCTGTTGTTCATTCATCACTACCTACACTGACACACGTTATCTTAGTTTATGTTTTAGATAGTGTAAAGACTGTTCTTGTTCTCTGTTGCTCATTCATCACTACCTACTCTGACAACGTTATCTTAGTTTATATTTTAGTTGGTATAAAGACTGTTCTTGTTCTCTGTTGTTCATTCATCACTACCTACACTGACACACGTTATCTTAGTTTATGTTTTAGATAGTGTAAAGACTGTTCTTGTTCTCTGTTGTTCATTCATCACTACCTACACACACACGTTATCTTAGTTTATATTTTAGTATAGTGACTGTTCTTGTTCTCTGTTCATTCATCACTACCTACACTGACACACGTTATCTTAGTTTATATTTTAGATAGTGTAAAGACTGTTCTTGTTCTCTGTTGTTCATTCATCACTACCTACACTTACACACGTTATCTTAGTTTATATTTTAGTTGGTATAAAGACTGTTCTTGTTCTCTGTTGTTCATTCATCACTACCTACACTGACACACGTTATCTTAGTTTATATTTTAGATAGTGTAAAGACTGTTCTTGTTCTCTGTTGTTCATTCATCACTACCTACACTGACACACGTTATGTTAGTTTATATTTTAGTTGGTATAAAGACTGTTCTTGTTCTTTGTTGTTCATTCATCACTACTTAAACTTACACACGTTATCTTAGTTTATATTTTAGGTAGTGAAGAGGCTGTTCTCGTTCTCTGTTTTTCATTCATCACTACCTACACTAACACACGTTATCTTAGTTTATGTTTTAGATAGTGTAAAGACCGTTCTTGTTCTCTGTTGTTCATTCATCACTACCTACACTTACACACGTTATCTTAGTTTATATTTTAGTTGGTATAAAGACTGTTCTTGTTCTCTGTTGTTCATTCATCACTACCTACACTGACACACGTTATCTTAGTTTATGTTTTAGATAGTGTAAAGACTGTTCTTGTTCTCTGTTGTTCATTCATCACTACCCACACTGACACACGTTATGTTAGTTTATATTTTAGTTGGTATAAAGAGTGTTCTTGTTCTCTGTTGTTCATTCATCACTACCTACACTGACACACTTTATCTTAGTTTATGTTTTAGATAGTGTAAAGATTGTGCTTGTTCTCTGTTGTTCATTCATCACTACCCACACTGACACACGTTATCTTAGTTGATATTTTAGATAGTGTAAAGATTGTACTTGTTCTCTGTTGTTCATTCATCACTAGCTGCACTGACACACGTTATCTTAGTTTATATTTTAGGCAGTGTAAAAACTGTTCTTGCTCTCTGTTGTTCATTCATCCCTACCGACACTGACACACGTTACCTTAATTTATGTTTTAGGTAGTGTAAAGACTGTTCTTGTTCTCTGTTGTTCATTCATCACTACTTTCACTGCGCACTTTATCTTAGTTAATGTTTTAGATAGTGTAAAGACTGTTCTCGTTCGCTGTTGTTCATTAATCACTACATACACTCACACTACAAATCTTAATGATCTCATTTGATAGCAACATATGAATATCCTTACAGTTTGAATATGTTTCTGCAGCTTAGCATCTTGCATAATTTTACTGGTATCACCAATCGCAAGCGCGAGCAAAAGGTTCATGACAATGATTGGCATGATGATGATAAATAAACTAAGAAAGCACAATTGTAGCAAGAAAAATGTGTTGAAATGACCGCGGTCTCCAAGAAACGTGTCTTGAAAATTAAATTCTCCCAATGTCATCATTGCTCCAGTTAGCAGAGAATAGCCAAAGTTCTTGAACAACTCTCTGTCATGCATGATGGACGTAAAAGCTGCTGCAAAAGCGACCATGAAACATATCAAAAGCAGCATCACCTAATTAATAGAAGTTGGTGCGTTCGAACATTGGCCATAGGAGACGTTATAGGTCGTAAAGATCGATCATGTTTGGCATCTTGCGTGATTTTATGGATAAATTGAATGCAAACAGATTTGGGAGAAATAAGAGGAAGACATGATACATGTCTGCATATAGGTATGGAGAATACAAGAAGCATATGAACAGTAAACAATGTACATGACGAATGATACTTAATACATGATTTATTTTAAAAACTTATCTTTTTAACATAACTGAAATGGTAAATTTGTCATCATCTTACATTACACAGAAGGGTTTTCAATCGCAAATTCATGATTCAGATACACGAACCTTCATTGTTGAGAGTAAGATTTTCCACATCATTTGAATAATGATACCGTAAGAGGCAAACCTTCTTAGATACATGGCTAAATTTATCCAAGCACAAAACAACGCTATAGAACAAGCTTTCCATTGAGAACTTGTCTTTGCAGCGATGTTTTCATGACATGGTACAGCAAAGATGATTGTCATTGCGTAGAGAATCCATTGCAAAAGGTTGACTGGATCCAGAAGATAATTCATGAAAGCCTTCAAGTTAACCAATATCTGCATATTTGAAAAAAAATGTGTGAAATCATAAGGTTCAATTGACACCGAGATATGATTATGTGGACCATTGTATTATGAAGTTACATGTTTGTAAATGTAGATCATCCAGGTTGGTATAGTTCTGAGAGGTACTCTTTTTGTTGTTGTTGACTGACTTTTCGACAACCTTGGCGGTAGTCCTCTTCAGAGTCAAATGAGGAGTAAACGTCAGGTTTGCCGTATTTGTTATCTGGTTCTTACGTCATTGTATTGTGTGTACAGGAAATGTGTATTGTCATTGTGAATTAGTGTGAAGTGAAATATTTTTATTTTTCGTTGTGATGTCTGATTTAGGTGTGATGCTTTTAGTGGTAATGTGTGTGTGTCAATTGTGTATTGTCATTGTGAAATAGGGAAGTGTAATGTTTTTAGTTGATCGTTTGTTTGTATTGTGAATAAGTCGTTTGTAAGGTGCCGGTAATTGCTGTGATCTGTTCAGTGGGGTTTGTTCCAAGTTGGTATACCAACTTTTTAATGTAAGCCATTGTCTATAGTCAGTACTGTAAGTAATGCATTTTGCCGAGTCCTAGTCAATGTTGTGCTTTGTGATTCGGTGATGTTCGGCAATGTGATTAGTTTTGTCTTGTTTCTTAGTAGCTCGTTTGTGCTCAGGGTTTTTGTACAAGTAAGTGCCAGATTAAGTGGAATACTGGTGAACAGTGATTTCACATCAAAAGACACAAGTATATAGTTTCCGGTATTTGTATAGTCTCAGTTTTTTAATGAAAGTTTCAGTGGAGTGTAGCTTGTGTTTTGATTTGTTTGTAAGTGGTTGCAGTATGTTAGTCAAGTACTTTGAGAGTTCGTAAGTAGGCGAACCACAGAATGATACAATTGGTCGCATGGGTATTTGTGGTTTGTGACGTTTTGGTAGTCCGTATAGTCTAGGTGGTCGTGGTACTAAATATCTGAGTCGATAATAAATACGTTCAGATATAATGTTAGATTTTCTCATAGAGAAGATCTTGCTGTTAAGTTTGCGTACTAGTGATGGTGTTGGGTCTCGTTTGAGTTGTTCGTACGTTTGTTTGTCGTTAACAAGGGTGTCCATTTTGTTGAAGTAATCATTCCTGTCCATGACCACAGTCAGGCGTCCTTCGTCTGCTGGTAAAATGGCGATGTTGTTGTCGTGTTTTAGTCGTTTGAGTGCTTGTTGTTCGTCCTTTGTCAAGTTGTTGTCACGTATATAGGACGATTGTAAAGTAGAGGCTATACTGCTTCTGATCTCGTCTTTGGTTGTCTCTGACAAGTCTCTTTGACACGCAAGGACAGCCTCGACACTTGATACTATCGTCTCAGTCAGGATTCGTCTAAGTGTTATGGAATGTTTTAGTCCGTAAGATAGTAGTCGCGTTTCAGTTTCGTCTAATGAGCGGGAAGAAATATTCCTCACCCAGTTATCGTCATGTTTATGTCTTGTACGCGTTTTGGTTTGTTTTAAACGTTCAAATTTTTGTTGCTGTTTGATTTGATGTTGTGTCTCTGTCTTGTTTGCTCGTTTCTCTGCAATAGTTTGTATCGTCGAAACTGAGTTTCTTCAGTTTGTTCAGTCTTTGTTCTTGTTGTTTGATGTAATAGTTGATTCGTCTGTGACAGTCGTTAATCCGTGGCAGTGCCGGATTAACCATATGGCAGAAGCGGCATATGCCGCGGGCCCCGCGCTTCTGGGGACCCCGCGCTTGCCTTTGGAAAAAGAAAAAAAGGGAAATAAAACGAAACGGCCAAGACTAATTGAAATATAAAAGCGTGAGGCCCAATTCCAAAAACGGTAACACTGCAAGTATCAATGATTCACTGGCAAAATATAGGCTATATTTTGCAATGGGATAGGAGATCCATTTGTATCGTCATATTACATGTTGCAGTTTCCGTTAATTTAGCTACACCTATTATATTACATAAAGTCTTTCGTCTGGCAGTAGGATTGCAACTCGATATTGTTGTAGTCTCGACTTTCAAACCGTATTGAATACTATCAGACTTTTTTCGATTCATTTTGATAATTTTTGAGATTGCTGTTGTTTGTGACTTGTAAGTGTTGTTGACAAATTCAAACTGGAGATATTCAAGGTATTTGGCTGAATGCTGAAGCAGTGACGGCGACGCTTGGTAAGTTTTGATGATTTACTAACTGCCGTGAGCCGTCTGCATTCTTACGTTTCCTTGGTTACATGTTTATTCCTCATATATAAATTGCCGATTTATATAAAATAACAATATATTCCAAAAATGTCCTGAATTCCTGGCAGCTCCAAAGGCCCAAGAAGCGTATGCGTGTTTGATTTATTTTCTCACAATTCTATATGTGCGATAGTAAACCGTCAAATCGTCCTTCTATGTTTTTGTGAAAGTAAATATTACTAAAACGTCACTTTCAAATTTTTAGGTTTGCTAATTGCTATAATATAGTTAACAATTAAAGAATGAGTTCCACCAGTGGGGGTGGCAACCGCGACCGCGACAAAAATCGCAAATATGCATCTGGAGCAGCAAAACGAAAGGCAAAGGATGAACGAATTTTACGGGAAAGTAAAGTTTTAAGTAAAATGCCGAAAATATCGGAACTGTTTCCTCCGAAGGCTGATGAAGGTTCTTCTGAGCTGACTGCTGCAGATGAAGCGATGACAACAATGGCAGAAGCAGTTGAGGAACGACACCGGCGACACATCCAAGGAGTTGACATCTGGTGATACGTCCATTTCCACTGATAACAATGATGGATACTCTTGTGATTTGGGATTATGGCCTACTGATATTTCTGACAATATGAGAGAGCACTGGGCAGGTCAAGGGAGTAGTCAGTGCAGAAATTCCGATGCCGATTTCAGCGCAACATCAACAAGATATGAGGGAGATGCTTACAATAGACGATGTCAAAAAACTTTGTTCACGTACACACATGAGCTTACAAAACAGCAACATCCTCGAAACTGGCTCTGCTATTCACCATCCAAACATGTCGTGTTCTGTTTTGCGTGTAAACTCATGACTGACAGCATCGTTTTTGGAAAACAAGGTTATAATGACTGGAAACGCGCATCCCAGTCAATTCCACGACATGAGAAAAGTTCAGCGCACCGTAATGCTGTTTTCAGCTACTCCAACGTAGCGATGCTGGCTGCCGTATTGATTCAGAACTGGTCACACAGGCCAGTGATGAGCGTAACTATTGGCGGGCAGTACTTGAGCGGGTAACAGAAACCATCCGTTACCTTTCCGAGCGAAGTTTACCATTTCGCGGCACTGATGAGATCGTTGGATCGCCAAAAAACGGTAACTACCTGGGAACATTAGAACTTATATCGATGTTCGATCCATTTCTAGCGCAACACATCAACCGTAATGCAAATAAGGGAAAGGGTCACACATCCTATCTCTCAAAGACCATTTGCGAGGAATTCATCCAACTGATGGCAACTCGAGTTCGCGAGCAGATTTTACAGAAGTTAAAGCTGCAAAGTATTTCTCCGTCTGTGTAGACTCTACCCCAGATATTTCCCACGTTGATCAACTGACATGCATTCTTCGATACGTTTTACCCTCTGGTCCTGTCGAACGATTTGTATCTTTCCTTAACATACGTGGACATAGCGGAAAATTGCTAGCTGAAAGGCTACTAGATTATTTGAAAACCAATAATATAAATATTTCGGATTGCCGCGACCAGTCATATGACAATGCAAGCAATATGAGTGGGAAATATAATGGTATGCAGGCCATTATTCAGCAACATTGTAGCCTAGCACAGTACATACCCTGCGTTGCACATTCCCTTAATCTTGTTGGACTATCATCTGCCAGTTGTTGTCAAGAAGCATCAAGATTCTTTTCAGCAATATGAGTGGGAAATATAATGGTATGCAGGCCATTATTCAGCAACATTGTAGCCTAGCACAGTATATACCCTGCGTTGCACATTCCCTTAATCTTGTTGGTCTATCATCTGGCAGTTGTTGTCAAGAAGCATCAAGATTCTTCAACTTCCTCCAACGATTGTACTCTTTCTTTGCTGCTTCGACGCATCGTTGGAAAGTTTTAACCGACCAACTTTCAAGCAAGAGACTTCCAACGGTTAAACGTATGTCTGATACTCGATGGTCAGCACGTGCAGATGCTACAAAAGCTCTAGTAATAGGGTACGAGGAAATTAATGCTGCTTTAGACGAGATCCATGATGATCAAGATGAGAAGCCTGAAGCCAAAAATGAAGCCAATAGTCTTGCGTCTGATATGGCCCAGCTTGAAATTGGAATTCTGGCAGCATTATGGCATCAAATCTTGCAACGATTTCAGAGAACAAGTCAGATCCTGCAATTAGATCAAGATCAACATCTGTTGCATTATATGAACCAGATTTGAAGAATTTGAAGCCAAAGGAAAGGAGCTCAGTGAATGTGATCAATATAAAGAAGAGATCAAGCGCGTGCGTAAACGAAATCGTCGTAACGACGAGCCAGGATCAGCACCTGATTTGTTGCAGATTCCAGCCGACAAGTTTCGCACAGGTACTTTCCTTGTAATAATCGATAGTCTGGATGCTGAGTTGCGAAAACGACTGAGTGCTTACATCAACATTGCTGAAAAGTTTGGCTTTCTGCGAAAGCTTACAGATCTGCCAGCTGAAGACGTGTTGGAAAACGCACAAAGATTGCAAAAAGCATTTTCCACTGACCTCGAAGTCAATTTGGGTGATGAATTGCTCCAGTTTTCTAGCTTTCTCAACACAGAATTCGTGAAAAGAGCATTAGATGCGAGTCATGCAGCTGCACCTCATTATTCTTCAGCTCGAATTGGATCTTCTGCTCAGCCTAGTGAAGACCATGACATCGATGTAACATCCGATGATGATGACGACATCAAAGTGAACGTAGACTCCTAGAACTGCGTATATACAGGTTTCTTGTGGGAAATAACCTGAAACTGTATTTCCAAACACTGTTATTGTGTTTCGCATTTACCTCAGTATGATGATATCAAATTGTTCTGGTGAACGGTCGTTCTCGAAATTAAAGCTAATAAAGGATCATCTTCGTTCAACCATGACACAGGAACGACTAAATAGCCTTGCTCTTCTGAGTATTGAAAATGATGTTCTGCGTAGTATTGATATGTCATCCCTGATTAATGATTTTGCTCTTATGAAATCCCGTAAGCATAACGTTAATAAGGCTTAACACTTCTGCACAGTAAAACCTTTTACATCTTTTTTTATCGTGTTTATTATATTAGTCTGTTTAATATTGGTATGTAATGTTTGGTATACGTACATGATTGTAAATTGGAATTATATTCAACGTATTGGTTTAAATAGGCCAAAATACGAGGTTTTATTGTTTGAGTTAAAAAAACAGTTTTTTATTGCATTTTGGTAAACACAGGGGTTGGGGCAAGGGCCCCGCACTGATATTATGCCATGGCCCCCGCAAAATGTTAATCCGGCCCTGATCCGTGGTCTGCTGGTGGATTTGACAATCTGAATAGCCTCTTGTGTGTTCAACGGGGACTTAATTCTAAGTCCTGCCGGAACGAGAAATCAAATGAAATCAAGTGTAATGAAATCAAATGAAATCAAATGTAAAAAAATATATAATACGAAAACAAATCCTGTTTGCTGTATTTGATCATCATGGCAAAGAATTTATTGTTTTCATAAGGTAAAATCTTTACGCCATCCAATGCAGCTCGAGGATATTTCATTAGTGTCATTGGTGTCACATCACTTACATGCTTCAATTGATTGGAAGGTTAAATCTGCATGCGTTGCACCTTCTCAGTAGGTAAATACAACTGCAGCAGCAGGGAAGATATGAACCAAGAATAAAATCTGCTAGCGTACAACAACAATATGGAGGGCCCTAACTTACTAAGTGCCCAAGAGCACTTGCAGCGACATTTGCAGTCGAAAACACAGTAATTTTTTCATAGCATATAGATATATATAGATGGCAAATTACAGCACAGGATGCACACTAGAGGATGAAGTATTTGCTAGCAAAAGATAGAGTTGAATACTGACCTGAATTATTTCATTCAAACTTTCAATGCCAGTAAAAACAAGACAAATAACCATCGCTGCCTTAACATCTATGTTTGCTTCTGGTAATTCTATGCAGAAATATTTAAATTCAGGTATCAAAAATATCTACTTAGCAAATTTGAATATGTCCAATTCAAAATGTTTGTAAAGTACACAATGTTGTGATCTATATTCAATACCTGTGCTTTTTACTGATGGATTGTATGGAGGAATATTAGTTGCATACACGTTCAGAGAAATTAGAAATGCCATGTAGAAAAACAAGCGTATCATATACAACCCACATCCAAGTTCTTTCCACTTTTCTTCAAGGAATTTGCAGCAGACAGGATGACGTAAACATTTGTAGCTTTTAAAAAGTACCATATTTTTGATAGCGGTCAACGGCTTGAATTTTTTAGTTCCTTCACTTGTCTCTGTCAGAGAAAAACAAAAAACACCCAAATTATTTTGTAATGTGATGTACAAATAATTTTATACTAATTCTGAGTATAATACCTGAGGGATTATTTTGTAAGTACTTAAAGTCATATTTGACTTTATAATTCTCACATTTTGGGTGATTTTCGGGTATCATGCTTTTACACAAAACTTGATATGCCACCTCTGACATTTTTTTCGAAATCAAATTGGCCATTGTTCCTTGTGGACCATACATTGTTTTCTCTATTATCTAAAGAGCAAAACCATTATTCAGGCAGTCGTACACTTTACAGCAGTTTTGCTTAAATTTATGAAAATTTCTTTACTTCATGCATGACACATCATTGATTAAGTGGTAGACGCTATAATGCAAAACTTAAGTTTCAATGTTTCTAACATTGTGCTGAGCATGATGCCAAAATTACTAAAATAGCCCTTGAAGGATGAGCATACGTCTAAAATTGACAAATAATACTAAAAAAATTACTGAAAAAATGTAAAAATGTGTTTTTTAAATAGTTCGTTAATGCTCAATGCACCAATTGGATTCCGTAGCAAGTGTTTTTTAGCAGACAAAGAGATAAAATTCGTAGGAACCTCATCCCATTTATCATGACACACCATCGCAATAGCATTATCTTTATCGCCATTTAAAATGGCATAATCCAAGCAGCCAAATAATTCACCATCTTTCGTAATGGCTGCTTCTTCATCCAATAAATATTTCACCACATTTATTTTGCCATGTGAAGCAGCTTCGAGTAATGCTGTTCGTTTTTTGTCGTTCTCGCGATCGATCATGGAACGTTTATGCTCTACCAATAATTTAACAATGTCGAGTTGTCCGTGCTGCGCTGCGATATGAAGAGGAGTAGACTTATCTTTGTCGCTATAAAGTAAGGCAAAACATTTGGCTTAAATTAGCCTTTCGCTTTTTTTTCTTCTTTTCCTAGTGATCTTGACAGAAATGAAAAAAATTATTTACGTTAACATGATTGCTCCGTTATTCAGTAGACATTTGACGACCTCGGAGCTATTTGTTTTTGCTGCTGTATGAAGCGGGGTTTGCCATGTATCATCGACCTTGTTGATCAAAGCTGGTTTATGGACGAGGATTAATTCAACCACATCAGAGTTCTGAGAAAGAACAGCGCAATATAATGGTGTCCGATAACTCGTCGAGAAGACATTCGGATTAGCGCCATGTTCCAGCAGAATTCTTACACTCTACAAAGAACGTGGTATTTAAAGCTTACTGTTTTGCTTAAACGAGCTTGAAAAAAAATGAACTCAATTGCCTCAAGAAGTCCGTTATAAGCTGCGTCATGAATGGGAGTATAACCACCACCTTCTCTTTTTGCATTTATCAATAAAAGGATACGATCGTTTTTCTAAAACGTTTTGAGAAAATATACGTTTAAAGCTTCTCTATCCGTCTCTATAATCTAATAGCTTCCATATAACAACAAACAAAATCAAGTTATACCTTAAGTAAAATTTTTAATATTTCAGGATAAGCGATTGCATAGTGAAGAACTGTTCTGTTTCCATTGCTGCCATCGCGGATGTTAAAATCAGCATTCAGATCCAGCAGTTCCTCGACGACCTGCTGATAGCCACGTTCTGCAGCGAGGACTAAAGCAGACTGAGACTTTTCCGTCTTTTCATTTACAAAATCCATGTTCATTGATCCTATGTACCTAACAAGACCGCTTCGATCGTTGATTACAGCTCTAAAATGAAAAAAAGACAATACAAACAATAAATAATGCATAAGACCGAAGATGCGTTTATTGTTAAAGACATCATAAAATGAAAGGTATTTATCCTTTAAAGAGCAAATTTATCAAAAGTTGGTTTACATTTTCTTTATTGATTGATTCTCATCTGCTACAGACCACTAAAGAGTTAATTTAATAAGCTTGCATGTGCTCAAAACACTAATTATAAGGCTAAAGAAGAACAATTTCCATCTTTCAAACAGATAACTATACAAATCACTTACTGATGTAGTGGAGTAAATCCCTGTTCATCCCTTCTCTTCATTTGCTGAGCAACTATATCTTCTGCCTTCGACACTAATTGTGACAAAATATTCTCCATTCCCTTTTTACAAATTTTATGAATCAAATAGCTATCATTGATTTCTTCTTGTAAATAGTCTCGGCCGATATCATCATGATGTTCAAGAAAGACTTTTACTGTACTTTCATCTCCACTGTTCACAGCAGCATAAAGTACTTTGCGGAGGTCATTCACATTGTATTTTCCTGAAACCAAAATATAGCCATCATATAAGAAAGGAAGTCTGAGCAAAAGAGCAATATCAACAATACCTAGCAGCCATATAAGCATGTAAGTGGTTATGAATGAACAACAAGAAAGAGATTAGTCTTTACACTATTTAAAATACAAAATCACTGTCAGTGTCAGAGAAAGAGGAATAATTTGTATGTAATGAAGTGATGAAGGTACAACAGGAAACAAGAACAGTCATAACACTATCTAAAATATAAACTATGTTAACGTGTGTCAGTGCAGGTAGTGATGAATGTACAACAGAAAACAAGAACAGTCATAACACTATCTAAAATATAAACTATGTTAACTTGTGTCAGTGTAGGTCGTAGACGGGGACGATTGAGTAGTAAAGAAGCTTAACTAATTGTGTATTGTGTATTTTTTTTCAATAATATAACCACTTAAAAATAATGAAAACAATGTATAACGCTGTAAAAATCCATTCACCTTGTTTTAGAAAAAAGTCGAGCATTTTAGCATGGCCGTTATAAGCAGCAATGTACAATGGAGATCGTTCTGTGGTGTCAATCCGTGTTATCTTTCCATAGTGTTCCAACAACATCTTAGCGATCTCGAGATGGTTGAACTTTGCGGCAAAATGAAGTGGTGATCGACCATTTTCACTTTCGACATGGTTTACAAGACGAGCAATTAATTTATTTTCCAACAACTTACGAAGAATACCTACACGATGAAGCAACATGCTATTGATGACAACCCTGTTAGTTAAGTCACATGCAGATATACCAAAAACACATAAAAAATTTTTTGCTTCCAAAAATCTTGAAAAAGCCGAGGCAAAGTCCACGCACACTTTTCTCACAAACCTCACCTTCGTCACCCATTCTCGTGGCTACATGAAGCACACTTTCTCCATTATAAGCATCGTAAATTGCCGCAAGTTTCAATTGTTCAACATCATTTTTTCCATCTTGAGTGTCTATCTCATCACTCAATGACTTCAACGGGAAATGAAATGAATTACTAGAAACAATCCCTTCCACGTTATCCTCGTGTCGCAAGTTGGCATTCCTACGACAATTTTGTAGAATCGCCATTTCCATTCTGGACGAAAATATAGGATTAACTTGCGACAACCTGAAGACAAAAGCATCAATAACAAAGGGACTTAAATCGTTCCTAAAAGATAAACTGCAACATATTTTTTGAATTGTTCTTATATGTTATTTTCATACACGTCATCAGTCATGTGTTCATACATTGATAAATCCACTTTGAGGTTAGTAGTAATTACAATATCGAAAAAAATACATTCTTTCTGCTCACATTTTCCTCACTCGAGCATTGTGAACAGAATGTGAGATAATCACACGTAGAAATACCGAATTCGACTAAAATACAACTATAAGAGTACGATGCGTTGTTTCTTGTTATATGCGCCCAACAGAAATATGATTTTTGTGATCACCAGCGTAGCTTATTCCAGTATAATATTCTTATTATTTTGAGTTGTCTATCATCAATTTTTATTCACGATACAATGAAGTGATTTCGGTTTTGATTGGTCAACTACCTGCAAATCGTTCTTGATATCTGTAACTGTAAATATGACGTCGTGTTTACAAATAATTCCTGGTATTTGTAAGCATGACGTCTTATCTACACATTATACTTTCTATAATTGTTGACGCGAATATAATCAATCAGCTAAAATGGAAGTTTGCAACAATTTCTAAAAACGATATCCAAAAGTTTTTCGGGACAAAATTAAGGTCGTGGAAAACACAAAAAAGGCGACAAAGCTTGATTTGAAAATACTTACAACATATTTAAAAGAAAAGAACTTGTATACACCCTCTGATAAGGATAAATTGGCGGATGTTGTAAAATTGTTTTTAAAAATTTTGTAAAAATCAAACTGTTTCAATATTTCTTTCAGTTGAGGGGAATAATAAAAGTGCAAACTAAAACTTTTTGTATAAATTGAAAATCACAGTGTTTATGATACATCCAGCTCATAGAGATCACCAGGCAGACAAACAGCAACAATCGAAATTTTTCAAAAAGGTCGGGAGAAGGAACAGTCCGAGTCAAGTCACGTAAATGAAAACGTCCTCCATATATGGTGTTCCTAACACAAACATAACTTAGAAAACATTCAGAAAATCTGGCGGCAGTTCCACAGTACATAATAATTTATACATGAACCACTTCTTTGTTTATAACATATTTTATGTATATTTGTTTCATGTCGATGACGCATAAAGTTGCATTTGCTAAGTATTACAGCATTTGAAAATAAATCATAGTGTGACAAATGATAAAAATTAATGCCCAACATAAAGTTTTAATTAGAGTCATAGAAATAGATCAAAAATTGTAAAATTGAATTTATTGTGACGTTTCGTCTTTACTCAAATTCCATTCCCCTTAACCTCTTTTAATTTCTCTTTACTTTACTTCCAACTTCCTTATCATATAATCCATTTGACACCGCCTCCTTTAGTAGTAATTTAACACCTTTCGTAAATATAATATCTTGTCTTAACATCCTATTTATTAATTGTCTGAAGATGTCTTAAGTAAAAACGAAACGTCACAATAAATTCAATTTTACAATTTTTGGTCTATTTCTATGACTCTAATTAAAACTTTATGTTGGGGCATTAATTTTTATTACACGAATTCGATTTCCGCTCAGCAAGTCTCTCGCTACAAATGATAAATTGTAGTTCGGTGTTAGCAGTTTTACATCAAACCAATGACAACAGCATTTAGAATTATGCAGCCCCTTTCACAGTCAATAATTAATAATTAAGTAATTGTATGACACATCTTAACAAAAATTTCATACCTACACAATGATAATACTGCTCAGTCGATGACAAATCGGCAACTCGAGATTGATGTTAAACTTGGACAATCGTAGATTGACGACTACATACCAAAGTAATTTTTGCGCAATTGAGTTTATAATTTAGAAATACCTAATGGATTCCCAAGGTGCGAGAGGAATGATAACTTCCTTTCTTATTTAAATCAATTGGATATCATTATTATAAAACAATCAATAAATATATGTCATGTGAACTCTCACACAATACCTATAGGGGGAATATATTCCAATTATTTAAAGATTCCCGTTTACACTAATACGCTTTCGTTTGAAAACGAACACATTTTGATACGTTTAGGCCTTCCGTCTGGTAGATGGGCATATGGAAATCATAAGGAAATCTTGGAATTTCTCATGCTTCAAGAATATATAATTGTTTGTAGTTAAATCTTAAATTGTTCCGTTATACAACGCTATGATGGCTTTACACCAAGGACAGATAGATGTTCAACGATAATACGTTCTATATGGGCCTTCCAATGCACAATAAGAGCAAAAAATCGGTCTTCGAATGCAAACCTTATCATAATACACCCGCAAAGACCGTCACAGGCAATCAGGCTGGTCGCTCAACACATGCCGAGCATGCATAAATTACCATTTTACATCAGGCTACGATTTGCAATCATCGTATTCAAGCGATTTAATGCGTCTTGTAAAAAATTTCGGTCTTTTAAAAACGCATACAAGCGAAAACGCACTAATGTAGACTGGGCCTTAGTTGTGATGTTTGCCTTAATATACACGTACATATACACAAAATGTTGACAAATTTAATTTAAGAAGCCTGTCACAAAGAAGGGGCCAGAGAGTAAAAGCACATGAACAGATCCTGTATTTAAGACGCTGACTTTGGCCTGATAATTTGCTTTCCTATGGAAAAAGAAGAATATAGCACGGTTTTCTGCAGTCTCTGAAGAGCAAGTTGTTTTCTCAAGATGTTTCTTTATATAAATAAAAACGCTAAACATACAATGGTAAGAAACTCTAATGACATTCTCACTTGTTACTTTTGTAAATTCAAATTCTTTCCTTCATTCGACACCTCTTCCAAGCTATAACTAAAAATTATGACTATAAGTTATGATCGCAAGGGAAGAGCTGCTTAGGCCCCCTTGTCACCAAAAATTGCTAGGTATAGCTTAGTGGTTTGGTGTTCAAGCATGTATTGCAATTTAGCTTTGATTTACTGTTAAGTATTGCTCTAAGATATGTTACATTGTAAACAGTAGCAGTGTTAAGTGTTATCTACCTTTGTTGATAAACGGATACACTATCTTCCTATGCACCATGTGTCCACGATATCTTCCTATGAACCATATTTAATCATAGCACTGTAATAATTCAACCAATCATAAATCAATCATCTCATGTGTATAGATACAACATATTATTCCATTAAACACTTGAACACTTCTTCTTCTTGTCGTGTGAGTCTCGGTGTATGAGAATAGTTATAATGTCTACGACTGCAAACTTAACATTTACTTCGAGACAGGTCTGCTAGTGGTTAATGTTAATTTGCGTGATATGAATGATAAATTGATAGTCATGGAAATTTATACATACGTGTCCTTTTCACTTCAAGCATTGTGTGGACAAGGTTTATTTTAACGTTTATTGATCCAAATTTGTCGAAATGTCACCAAACGTTTGGCGGTTCGCCTTATTTTGAGCGTTCTTTCTATGTAACAACAAGCTACACTCGATTGTGTTATGGATGCATGAGTACTCCTCAGCTTGGAAGATACAGCGCTCGAAAAGCCGACGGTCAACTTCCGGCATAAATATATCTATTTTACAAAACTTATAAATAAATTCGTAGCCATTTTCGATGAAAACAATTTTTTTGAAATAATAATTACATTAAAAAAAATTTATCGTTAAAAAATTTTTCATACTTTCTTTACTCAACAATTGTTTATCAAGAAATTGTCTTACAACAATTTAACAAGGTTAAATAGTTGGAATGTTATTATACAAAAAGAATGATAGCATAATGCTATAACCAACAACTACAAACAATAACGACCTTATCTAACAACATTTGAGAAAACTAACCTTCCACTCCTCTTCCTTGTAAACGAGACAAGTCTACTTAAAAGCAGAGAGCCTTATACGCTACAAGTCCCGGGCTTGTGACCGGTATAGCAGAGTTAAAATGTGAAAGGTTTATCATAGAGTTAAGCTGTAGACCAGCTATAGCTGACTTTCACTCGTGTGTTTTGTCAGAAAATTGTGACAATTTAGTTTTGCCGAAATTTTTAACGATTGAATTTGAAAATGCGTTATACTGATAAACATAATGCATAATGAAAGTCGCAAATGCGAATCTTTCATTGAGGACGCTTGTTCCTGGTATGTCTGTCCGAGTTGGTCTTTCATCCATTAGACAGTTAGTAGGCCTACAGACATAGCTATTCTATAAAAAAACACATAGATGTCAGTATAATGAATGGTCAAGAAGAGAAAATAAATATATTGAAATGAACAAAACTTTAATACCTGATTTTCAAGTGTTGTCTTGGTCAGTCTGCATGACCCAGGTGACTTCGTCAGTCTCTTGCTTTCATCTAATTGTTTTTATGTGTACCGTAGAAATTTATTGTCTTATTTTTCATCAGAAATGCAATGAACCCTATTTGCAACTATTGTGTTTTAATTTTTCGTTACTCATACAACACTTATCGTTCTTTCTGCAACGTTAAAATGAACTAATTTTTCAATGAAGTAAAAGCACGCGAATTTAAATATGTCAGTAATATTTCTTTAATTGACGTCATGACTAAAATATTTTATTGTGATTGGCTCCTTAGGAGTAGGTCACCTTTCACAGAAACAACAACTAATCCTTCAACCATTTAAACAAAAAAAATCATTATAATCTTCAGATTTATTTGCATTTTAATGTCGTTAAGTAACGATGATATGATGGGATAGGTTAAGACCCCGTTTACACTTTACAGGATAACTATCGCAGCAGGTTAAATTTTCTTTCTATTGAAAGGCAGTGAAATTGTTCAACGTGCAGAATTGCACAATTGCATATCTTTATACTGTCGTCTATATGTATAGTCTTGTTCCATTTCATTCGAACAACATCTGCTTTCCGTGGCACATCGCGGCTTAAATGTGCATGCAAAACTTGAAGTGAACAATATCTTTATGCAGGGAAACATATACGTTACTATATCTTTTTGTTCCACATGATTGTTTTAACATTCATTGTTCCACTTCAACAAATTATGGGATGTTTAAGCCTGGTTCACACGAGTAAAATAAGCAAGAATGTCAACACTTTTGTTTCTATTGCTGTAGATGTTTACAAAGACAAAGATATTGGGATTTTCGTTCTTCTTCTGTTCTTCTCTTAGTTTATGCTGGAATTTTTTGGCAAATGGAAACGATTCAACACTTACTATCAGATAAATCTTCTCAAGCAATTTCACAATATTCTGATCTAATAACTTCTCAAAACATTTGAAATTGAAATAACCAATTTCCCCTAATTGGAGAATTACAACAGGAGTGACGTCCCTCAGACTTTTACTAAACCTCCCTTGGTTTGCGGGATATTTAATCACTAAGGCCTGTTTTAAATGTCGCATTTTACATGAGCCGAGTGCATTTAAAACAAAAGATGTAAAATGCGACGTTTGAAACGGGTCTAACAGCCCTGAAAGCGTGCGTTTAGCAAAATAGGCTTACAACATTGCTACACGCGTATCTTCGAAATATACAACATCGAATTGGGATCATACTTTTGACAAAACATTTCACTGCATATTTTACTTGTGGGACGTAGCTATGTTTTGTTTTTTGTTGAAGCAGTCTGCAGTTTTGTTAAAACTTAAAATTATCATTTGGACTAAAAAACAGAAAGCAATTGACAACATTAAATTTTGTGAATTGCAAAAGCAATTGCTAACATGAAACTAAATACATGTGTATTTTTTCTAATTTTTGAAACCAAACAATACACTTTAATTCACTTTCCAAATCTTGTGCATTTTAAAAACACTTTATATCCCTGGACATATACCGACATACTATTTTATCTAAAACAAAACTCAAATCATTCAAATGGTTTTTTGTCGTACAGGTATAAGATACCTTCATATCAAGTAAATCAAAAAAAGCATAGCTTTTTCTCATTATTTACGTTTGAGGATTGACAACAATATGAAAACCTCACGAAAACATACCTTGAATAATTTTTAGAAAACAAAAACGTTTCCATTGCGAAATCTTTATTACTTCATTTAATGTGATATGACTCCTTATACAAATTTTCGAGTAAGTGAAAACTACCTTAAAATTATATTTTTAGTGAGTGAGGATACAGTCCAATTTTTGCAGTGAAATACCCTGATAAAAGATTTTGCATTGTTTCAACTTCTACTGAATACCGTCTATAAGTCGGATATAATGACAGTCGTTATATTTTAAAAAACAATACGCGTACACGCAAGATGTATACAAACGAGTTGAATCTAATTTTGGAAATTTTGAAATGCCATTATTTTCAATCATTTGTCTTCAACTTTCGTATTTCCAGACCGTATGGTCACCAACACCATCGTCAACATCTTCTGAATTCATTCGACTATGTTGTCTCTTTAATTCCTCCAAACGAGATTTATTCAGAGTTGTTTCGTTCTCTTGCTTCTTAAATAAAATCAACTTATCATGATTTAAGGCCATACTCAAACTACGTCTGTATTGTTACTTACTTTTTTTAAAAGACGTCGCCTAAACTGGACTATTGTATCTCGTGAAGATTTCTCGCTCTCGTTACATACTAGTTGAATAAATGAAACTATTTATTTACTAATAATAATAACAATAGTTTCTATATTTGTGTAAATCTCTGATCATTTATTGACTTTTCAAAAAATATGTAATGGTGTTAACACATTTTGAAATGATGCAGAAATGGATCATTCGATTGATCATCGAATACTGATCATGAAATATTGTAACATTTTATTGCTGTTGAACCACAAAAATTTGAGAATCAATCATTGGAAAAAAAGGATTATGGATCACACAGGCCTATAATGAGAAATGCATACCCATTGTTACTGCGTATGAAACTCTTTGAATAAGAACATTTCTACGTTTTTTTTTCTCAAGGAAAACGGGATTCATTAGGTTTTTGCAGTGTTATAGCGAAAACAATGCAAGCTTAACATTTCGCCAAATACATAGAGATTGTAACAAATAAAATATTCATAAGAATAAATGATAAATAGAAAAGAATACACATTTTACCTTGACTTGCATCAATACTCTTGCTTGGTTTACCGTTTTCTTCCAAGCTTGCCATAACTTTTTTCTGAAAAATAGCATTCTGCATTTGCAGCTCTTTAACCATTTCAATCAAGACCAACGTGTCGTCTTCTTTTCTCATTTGTTCCGAGTTTTCGTCAACTTGATCAGTGGAAAAATCGGGACCATAAAATATGATTCCCCAAAGCTTACGAGAGAAGCTATCTTTCCGGTTGGGCCATTCGTCCAAAGGATCGACGAACGATACTCTTCTTCTCGTAAAAAACGTGTACCTCTTCCTTTCCATATCAATAATCATTTTAGCCTAAAGTAACATTAAATAAATTTACGCACACATTTCGTAATCTAGTTTATACTTCTATTGGTGTAAAGACTGTTCTAGTTCTCTGTTGTTCATTCATCACTACCTACACTGACACACGTTATCTTTGTTTATATTTTAGGTAGTTTAAAGGCTCTTCACATTATCCGAATCTTCACTCATCAATACCTCTACTGACATACGTTGTGTTAGTTTATATCACAGAAGTTGAAGACTGTTCCGTTTCTCAGTTGTTCATTCACTACTATCTACACTGACACAAGTTGTCCCGAGGCTTCCATTTTGTAGCTTTGTATTTATGTCCTTACCGTCTGAATGTGTTTCTGCAGCTTTGCGCGTTGCATGATGCTACTAGTATCATCAATAGAAAGGGCGAGCATAAGGTTGATGATAATGATAGCCATGAGGACAATGAAAATAATAAGAAGTGTCATCTGCAGCGGGTAAAATGTGTTGTACTCATTTCGATCACCGAGAAATCTTTCTTTAAAATTAAACTCTCCCATCGTCATTGTTGCTGTAGTTAAGATGGACACGCTAAACCTCCGAAACTCCTCTCTGTCATTCATTATCACAGTAAAAGCTGCTCCAAACGCGACGATGAAAAAAATCAAAAGTCCCAAGACCTAAATGAGAAACGTTGACGACATCAAACCTTGATCATTTTATTCATTCATCATCTTACACGAATAGAAAGAAGTGTCATCTGTAGCGGGTGCTGTACAAAGTAATTTCTCTTCACAAACATGTAGCACATGGACCACATACATCATGTGGTCATCTAAACGAACCTTGATTAATGTGAAAAAGATTTTTTTCATCATCAGAATAATGATTCCATAGGAGGCAAACCTTCTTAGGTAAATAACAAGATTTATCCAAACACAAAACAAGGCTATAGAACAGGCTTTCCATTGAAAACTTGTCTTTACAGAGATATTGTCGTTACTTGGTACAGCAAAGATGAATGTTGATACGTAAAGGACCCATTCTAAAACGTTGACATCGTCCAGAAAATAATTCGTCCTGCGTAGCAAAATCTAAACATTCAAGAAACATGCTAAACCAGGGGGCTTCTTTGGCTCATACTTATCATTTTTCATCATTATATCAACGAAAACTTTCATACACATAGAAATACAATAAGAAGCAAAATAAGAACTCAATACTCATACTGTAATTCCAATGCTTATATTCTAATCAGTAGAAATTAACGTGATCAGCTTGCAAATTTTGTCCAGCTATGCATAAATAGCTGTGTGATCTTACTGAAAAAACATTAGATTTCTTAAGAAATAAACGATGCTTATACTCCAAAATTTACATAGCAGGGGATCGGTTGCACGAAGCTTTGAGAGCGTTATCCATAGAATAGGAAAATTTTCGAACTTGTAAAAAAAGTGTCAGTGTTTTCATTACGACGAAGAAATTTTGTAATCTTACAAGCAATGTTTTATTTCAGTGATTACAAAGTTCAAATCTTGTCTTTTTCTTTTTAACGTGTTTTTTTATAAGTTTAAAAAAATTTGCTATCTAATAGATAACGCTGTCCAGGCTTCGTGCAACCGAACCTGCATATAGTCTATACACCACTGTTCGTACACACCAAATGAATAAGTTATTTATAAAAGTAACAGCATAATTTTGTGGGATAATCTGTTTTAAAAATTTAAATATATATGCAAGAATAAAAAATTGAGCAAAATATAAGCATGCTAGATAGACTTGAATACTTACCTGACCTATTTCAATCAAAATTTGAATGCTAGCAGATAGAAGACAGAACACAGTCGCAACCTTAACATTGATCGATGCATGTGGTATTTCTATAGAGAATAATTTCAATTCATATCAAACAGCGATCGTAAATTGTAATTTGAATGCGGGAAGAGATGGTTGGAAGTACATAATAAGTCATACCATAAGACTTCGTTGAATTATTTGGAATAATCGTCGCTTTGTATGAAGGAATACCAAAAGCATACACGTTAAGAGAAACAAGAAAAAAAAGAAAAAGAGTTAATCCGGCTGAATACATTTTCCACCCGAACTCCATCCATTTTGTTTTAAGGTATTTGCAACAGACAGGATGACGTAAACATTTGTAGCTTTTATGACGTAGCATCGCTTTGATGGCGGTCATCGGTTTAAGTTTCTTAGCTGCTTTTCTTGTTTCTGGTACGTAAAAGCAAAAAAAGCGAAATGTTTTTTCATACGAATACAATAATACATACAACTTGTACACCATACCTAAGGCATCATTTTGTAAACACATAAAATCGTATTCAACTTTATAATCGACACTTTCTGGGTGACCTGTGGATTTTCTGCTGTTACAAAGAGCTTGATAAGCCACTTCAGACATGTTTTTGGAGACCAGCTTTGCCATCGTTCCTTCGGGACCGTTTTTTGTTTCGTTCATTATCTAAGGAGTGAAGATAAATACTGTAAAGTCATGATTACAAAGCAAGTCTCCACATTCTATGTGCATCGTATGACAAGTGCCTTTAAGCAGACATACATAAAAATAAACTTTATGCATTAACCTCTTTCCATCTTTCATGACACATCATCACCATAGCGCTATCGTTATCGCCTTTTATAATGGTCCAATCCAAGCAATTAAAAAATTCTCGATCTTTGGTAATGGCTGCTTTGTTGTCCAGTAAATATTTCACCACATCTGCCTTTCCATTACAAGCAGCTTCAAGTAATGCTGTCCGTTGATCTGTATTCTTAAGGTCGATCATAGAAGATTTATGCTCCAGCAATAATTTGATGATATTTAGATGTCCATATTGCGCTGCAATATGCAGGGGAGTGGATATTTTCGAGTCACTAGACAATAAAAAAAAAGCTTTTGGTTAAATTAAATTTTCCTATGTGGTTCCATCTTTTATCATTTAACCTAGCAAGAAACAAAGCAAAAAGTCATTGAAAACTCACCCCAGTACGGTTGCCCCACTATTAAGAAGACAGTTGACGACGTCTGGGTTACAATGTTTCGCTGCTGTATGAATCGGAGCTTGTTTTTTGTCATTGACCTTGTTAATCAAACCAGGTTCATGGCAAAGTATCAATTGCACCACATCGGGCTTTTGGGAAATCACAGCACAATGCAATGGTGACTGATAAGTTTTGGAGAAAACGTTTAGATCTGCACCATGCTCCAGCAAAATTTTCACACTCTATATAAACAAACCTTTTATTTAAGACATAACGTTTTGCGAGAAGAAATTTCAAGGAAGTCAACTCATTTACCTCAATAAGACCTTTATAAGCTGCATCGTGAATGGGAGTATAACCGTCGTCTGCTCTTTTTTCATTTATCAACGAAAGCATAAGATCATTTTTCTAAAAAGTTTAAAGAAGCAATATAGATTAAAAGTAAGAATTTGAGTTAATATCTTATAGTGAATTATAGCTAGCATGTTGAAATAATACCTTCAACAAAATCCTCAATATTTCAGGATGAGCAGTTGCGTTGTGAAGAACGGTTCTATTGCTGTCATCGCGAATAGTGAAATCAGCTTTCAGTTTTAATAATTCTTCAACGACTTCAATGTGACCTTTATCTACTGCTAGGACCAAAGCAGACAAAGAGGTTTTCGTTATTTCATTGAGAAAACCTTTGGACAGTGATCCTATGTACCTCACAACACCGCTGTGATTATTGATCGCAGCTCTAGAATAAAGATAACATAAACTGAAGGATAATAATGCACAATCAAGGATAATAGACTTATTGGTGCTTAAAACACTTGGTAAAGTTGATGAATAGGATAAAATAGTCAAGCCATGAAACATACTAGAACAAATCACGTACAGTTGTAATGGAGTAAATCCCTCTTTATCTTTTACCATCATTTGTTGTACAACCAAATCTTCCATCATGTCCACAAATAGTGACAAAACCTTATCCATGCCATTATTACAAGCGGCATGAATCAAATAACTGTTGGAATTGATTTCATCTCGCAAACAAGGGAGTATGATACCTCCATCTTGCTGCAGACAAACTTGTACTGTACGCTCATTACCACTGTCCAGAGCAACATGAAGTATATTACGGTAATGACTTCCACCATACTTCTCGCCAAACAACAACTCTTTTACTGCGCTTTTGTCTAAAATAGAAATAGGCATTTATTATGAATAAAAATCATTGCACATGAACGATTATTTCAGATCGTGAGATATATAAACGTGTGTCAGTGTTGGTAACGATGAATGAACAAACTAACTAAAATATAAAATAAAATAACAGGGTCGATATGAATAGGTATGAATGAGCAACAGAGAAAACGACAACAGTCTTAACAAAACCTAAAATATAAACTAAGACGACAATAATCAGTGACGTAAATGATGAACGAACTACAGAGAACTCACACAGTCTACTATTTAAAATTCAAACCAAGATAACATGCGTCAGTGCAGACAACGATCAAATAACAGAAAATAAGTGCATGAAATAAATATGCTTTTGCCTGGTTGCAATGGCAAGTTGGATTTCATTTTATGAAATTACTTCGTTCTATTAATCTAGTAATATATATGTCAGTATGGAAATTTATGAGATAACCGACTAACTTGTTTAAGATAAATAAATCTGATGTATATTCCTCACAGTTAATTTTATTATTTGAAAATAACAAAAGGATCTCCATATGCTACACAAACCACTTTACCATTTTCTAGAAACAGCTCAAGCATTTCAGCATGTCCTCTATAAGCGGCGATATACAATGGGGATCTTTCTGTAATATCAACTCTCGTTATATTTCCACCGTGTTCCAGCAAGACCTTGGCGATCTCCACATGATTGAACATCGCTGCAAAATGAAGTGGCGAGCGGCCATTGATGCTTTCAACATGGTTCACGAGATCAACAATGAAGTCATATTGCAACAAATGACGAAGAATATCTACAGGATGAAGAAATTTAGCGTTGACGAATGATGACGAAAGCTTGTTTGTTGAGCAACCCATGACAACGAGTTTCAAAAAACGCAAACAGGAAAATATCAAAATGAAGCAAAAAGATCTCATAAGTCAATGCAATCGTGTGACATCAAAGTCGTAACATAGAATAAACTTTAAGAAATAAGAAACGTTTGCTTTTGCTGTTTTGCTTAGGTATTTGCCAAAGCAGACTTTATACTTTCACATTTCACAATGCTAAAGATATTTTGATATATCTCTTGCTTTGTAGAGTGCAAAAGTATGAAAATCTGTTTGGCAAATATTTACATTTGATAAGTATGGATGTTTAACAGTATTTCATGTCTCACTTTATGTTCCACTTTCATTTTTTAGTTTACCTTCGATTGATAAATAATACACTTTACAAACGAAATCAAAGAAATTTGGTAAATCGAATGATTACTGATAAAACTGTTAAAAGCAAATTAGCTATACTGGGAATAACAATCCGGTTCCGACACCTTGTTTTGCCCCCCCTCGAACACATTCAAACCTTTTAACAAAGATATATTCAAAGTCCACAGTCACGTCACGGCTGCCAGCCTTACCTACGTTACCCATCCTCGTGGCTACATGAAGTACGGTCTCTCCATTCTCAGCAACCACAGATTTGGTGCCTTTTACGTGATTCAACAAGCAAGTAAGAGAATTTCGTGTCCGTGATTCCAAGGCATGAAATATACATGGCTGTCCAGTTTCGTCAGGTTCAGAGAGTAACCTTTGAACTAAATAGAGCGGTTGAAAGTTATAAGTTAGACATGATAAAGCTAGATTGACATATCTCATTCATAAAATACTAACTTTCCTCCCCGGTGCAGGCACTCAATATATCTTTGATCTTAACTTCGTCATCGTAAATTGCTGCAAGTTTTAGTTGATCAGCTTCGGGATTTGTATTATTATTCCCGTTTTGTTCTTCATCTTCAGTGTCTTCCGGATCGATGGATGTCAGTGGTGTTGAGGGAGAATCAAATCTAGCGTTATTAAAACTGCAGTCCTCGCTATTTTTGTATCTGAGATAAGCTTTCCTCTGTTCACCCGGCGTAAACATTTTTCACCGAAATTCGCTGCTTAATCAATGGAAAGTATGAAATTCATGATTCAAAACGGACTGAACGAAAGAAAAGGCCTTTACACAACAAGACAACAATTTACGATGTTATTTTTAACTTAATTAAAAGTCATTACCAACAAGTTGTTTCTTGGAGAATACATCTTCTACTACTTTACATTTATTTCACCAAAAAACAACTTATGCATTTTGATTCATTGAACGCAGTTTGAAGTTGAACCAACAATTAAACGGCAGCAAAATTCGTGCATTGATATGTGGATTATAAGGCAGCAGAAGTCGTGCACTGATGTGTGGATTATAAGGCAGCAAAAGTCGTGCACTGATGTGTGGATTATAAGGTAGCAAATGTCATGCATTGATGTGTGGATTATAAGGCAGCAAAAGTCGTGCACTGATGTGTGGATTATAAAGCAGCAAAAGTCGTGCAGTGATGTGTGGATTATAAGGCAGCAAAAGTCTTGCACTGATCTTTTGATTATAAGTCAGAAAAAGTCGTGCACTGATGTGGGGATTATAAGGCAGCAAAAGTCGTGCACTGATGTGTGGATTATAAGGTAGCTAAAGTCATGCATTGATGTGTGGATTATAAGGCAGCAAAAGTCATGCATTGATAAGTGGATTATAAGGCAGCAAAAGTCGTGCACTGATGTGTGGATTATAAGGTAGCAAAAGTCTCGCATTGATGTGTGGATTATAAGATAGCAAAAGTCGTGCATTGATGTGTGGATTATAAGATAACAAAAGTCGTGCATTGAGGTGTGGATTATAAGGCAGCAAAAGTAGTGCATTGATGTGTGGATTATAAGGCAGCAAAAGTCATGCATTGATGTGTGGATTATAAGGCAAAAAGTCATGCATTGATGTGTGGATTATAAAGGCAAAAGTCATACATTGATGTGTGGATTATAAGGCAGCAAAAGTCATGCATTGATGTGTGGATTATAAGGCAGCAAAAGTCATGCATTGATGTGTGGATTATAAGGCAGCAAAAGTCATGCATTGATGTGTGGATTATAAGATAGCAAAAGTCGTGCATTGATGTGTGGATTATAAGATAACAAAAGTCGTGCATTGTGTGGTTATAAGGCAGCAAAAGTAGTGCATTGATGTGTGGATTATAAGGCAGCAAAGTCATGCATTGATGTGTGGATTATAAGGCAGCAAAAGTCATACATTGATGTGTGGATTATAAGGTAGCAAAAGTCATGCATTGATGTGTGGATTATAAGGCAGCAAAAGTCATGCATTGATGTGTGGATTATAAGGCAGCAAAAGTCATGCATTGATGTGTGGATTATAAGGTAGCAAAAGTCATGCATTGATGTGTGGAATATAAGATAGCAAAAGTCGTGCATTGATGTGTGGATTATAAGGTAGCTAAAGTCATGCATTGATGTGTGGATTATAAGGCAGCAAAAGTCGTGCACTGATGTGTGGATTATAAGGCAGCTAAAGTCGTGCACTGATGTGTAGATTATAAGGCAGCAAAAGTCGTGCACTGATGTGTGGATTATAAGGTAGCAAAAGTCATGCATTGATTGTGGATTATAAGGCAGCAAAGTCGTGCATTGATGTGTGGATTATAAGGCAGCAAAAGTCGTGCACTGATGTGTGGATTATAAGGCACCAAAATATGGAAAATGGGGTATTGATCACCACATAATTGTTTAGTGTGATGAATGATGACAACGTAAAGGTAAGAATGTTTGCATGGGTACAACATTGAAACCAAATTCATTACCATGACATGACGTTGAAAATACAGCAACTTTTAAAATTTTTAAGGAAGTTTTCACATTTTCAAAGTTCATTTAGCAGGCACACGTAGGTTATAAGAAAATGCTATTTTTGTTCAAACACAGTTTGGCCTTAAAAAGTTTGTCATTTCTGGTAGTATTTTGCAAGTAGTCTGGTGTTTACTTTTTATTGAGAAAAAATCGAACCAGGTTTGCTTTGCATATCTTTTGAGAAAAGGCGCGACAACTCCTATTTGTGGAAATACACTTTTGCATTCGCGGGATTAAATTTCTTGAAATGAGTGAATTTCCGATTTTTGTTGCATTTCCTGAATTTCATTGATTTAAAATGTACAGAAAACGTCACATGAACTTTCTGATTTGACACAAATATGTGTGGTCAACGTTGATTTTGTTGGCACTGGCCTAATTTATGTGACTTTATACACTCATACATAAAAACGAGCTGATGAAAGTTTTAAATATCTATGGATGAACTTTTAAGACGACATCGTTCAGTTTAGTGTCGTACTAACAATGTTTCTAAGTTTATGTAACAACAGGTAATTTACTCATGCAGTGGTAATTTTTCAGCAAACCTATTTCGCTTGTACAAAATTAATTCGCTTAATTGTCTTTACAGTGATTGAACACAAAAATGTATACATTGTTATGGTAAAAAGGAGTCGGCTTTGCTTCTGACAGATGCAGTTTTATTCAGTATGTGTAGTTTTAAAACAAACTAATCAATGTAAAACATAATATTTAGGAAAGTAATCTATGTTGATTTTGCCAACATTTAATTATAGGTGACCATATGTAAATGAAATTAATACGACTGAGCAGTTCTAGTCTTACGCACCTGTATAATAAGACTTAATAACAGAGATTGTTCCGGTCAGTTTCAAACCACCAACAAGTTTGCAATCTTTAACAAACGACAGAAACAGTTAAGTTCAGTGTGAGCAGTTAGTGTAAACCAATCAAGACAGCAACAATAATTAATATTCACTAGAAAATTATATCTTGCGCAAGCAATGTACAAAACATTCTTAAAATGGTTGAACAGTTGTTGATCATGACAAAAGACAATAAACTTGATGGCCTTTTACTTCAAGCAAGCACGTTCAAATTGCGGAATTTTTATACAATTCAACAAAATGTAGAAAGTAGCCTTGAATAATCAATGTTTGCCGAACCATTAAATCAAGGTCCTTGACACAGAATATACAAACACTTTTACATTAAAGATTTTTTTATAAAGCGCGACAACATCTTGAATGCGTGCTTCTTCCACACAAAAAGAAAGTCTCTAGAAATACGATGCATGCAATAAGATGAAAGTATATCTCTGTCTTTAAGAATTTTTTCTCGTGCAGAAACATTTTTCAACCTCAGAGTTAAATTCACACCACAGAAAAATAAATTTATATATTCAATAGGCATCTTCATCTTCCACACATACAAGCCGCTATATAAATGCATCAATTTCTTAAAAGAAGATAAGATTGAACGATGTTTGAAATTAAATATTATGAAATCAAAGTAAAGAAATGTAAAGAAGTAAAGAAATCAAATCAAAATCACAGCATGGCTTTAAAAGTAGCTAACGCACAACAAATGCATTTGTCATAGAAAATTTGCTAACTTGACTGACTTTGTTCGTCTGTAAGGTCTGCAAAGATAATATGACAAATCAACCAAATGTGATACGTTGATACGTACAGACGATCAAAGAAAATTTGCCACATAAAAATTTGTCGTAAAGATTTTATTGCCCGTACACACGGGCATGCGAGTATTGTCACAGAAAATTTGTTCGTATGTAAGGAGCTTTAAATTAGATCATACGTACACACATACTCAACAGGGTAGATAAAGTCTTACACACCTGGATTAAGAGAAATCGTCCAGATCAGTTTTACACCACGAGATGTTTGCAAGCTATTAGAAACAAAAGATTCAGTTTGGTCGAGTTTTATGTTGATCGCATCAATAAAAACAACCTTTATAAACACTCAGTCACGTACGTAGTACAGTCAATAATTTTAGGTGATCAACAATACAGCTAATTTTTCCAATCCTTTCTGCACAAGTAAAATAAATTCGTCAACTTCTGAAAGAAAGTTTTCACGAACATGGATGCCGTTTGACTCAAAACAAACTAGTGACAGCAATATTTATAAATTAACTTAAAGCCGCCGAAGCACAGTCAATAATTTACATTTTATACAATATAATAACGCATTAGATATGTGGGCATTTATTGATGACCACGCAAAAATGTGATCACGTAGCTTCAAATCATTATTGAATGTTTATAAACAATGGGATTTCTTCTAGCAAACAAATTTCAGGAAGTTACCGTGCTGTGCAAGACATGACCTTTCTTTCTTCTTTCTTGAACTGAATATCCTAAATATAGAGCGAAATGCATTACGACCCTTACGAAGGAATAGTCAAATAATTTGCAATAGCATCGTAAAGTAAATTTGTTAGTTATGGTCAGATTCATAGGGAAAAATATAACACCAATGTATGATACTGACTTTTATATGTAAGAATACAAGAGGCAGTATAAAAAGACTGCAGACATGTAAATAGGTAAAAATTAAGAGTTGCCTTTTACATACCTTCATAAGAACTGCCAACCCACGCAAAATAATTATCTTGCGACGTATACACCGTTTTCTTTTTGTTTGGGTTTCGTTACTTGCACCAATTACCTTGTACCGTTCACTAAAAATTTTTTGTTCAAAACTTCTTTAGGCATAACTCCTTTGAAAAAAATAAAGGTGTCTTTTTTATTGCATGTATAGACTTAATACTTGAATTGATGGTTTTAATCTTTTACCATTCACAATGGTATTTGCTATATTTAGAAGTATTTTTAAAAACAATTATCCTAAAAATTTTTTACTTTATATGGTCATATGTAGATGAACGTGAACGACATAGCGTAATTAATGTCCTACGCACCTGTGCAAACTTGTTTGAATTAGAATCGCTCACATTTTTTCAAAGTAAGATAAGTTCGCTACCTATAACAAAAGAAAAAAAGATACAGTTTGGTTCAGTGTTTGAAGTTTTAAACAAAATCAATGATTTATTACATTTACAAATACACAGCCCCATGCACAGTCAATAATTACCACATTCAATTTTTTTGGCAAGTTTTTTCCAAATCGCACGAGAAACTATGATGAAACTATTGATTATTAATAATATATATGAAAAAATTTCATAATTCTGTTGATTTTTAACTTCAGCGTATGCATTTCAGCAGGCAAGTTGTTAATACAAATTTACACTGGTATTTACTAAAAATTGCCCTGCTCTAAACCATTCAGAATTAAGAAATTTTTCATGTATAAATAATACACGTTAGTACTAATGTTTAGAAATAACGAATTGCTATAATTTCATATCTGTTATCCTCCTGATTTCGGCATCAGATCTTCTGAATTCATACGACTGTATCGCCTCTTCGATTCCCGGAAAAAACAGCGAAAATCTTTCACAGTTGGTTCATTCTTTTAGTTCTTCTGTAAAGTTTCCTGGCTCTCTTTACAATCCAGTTAAACAATCGCAACAGTTCATTCAATTATAACAGTGACGTAGCCAGCCTCTATCATTGGGTGAGAGCTCGTAGACGCATACCTGACTCATGTTGCTAACCGTTTACAATTAATTTCGAAGAGTACAATGCAGCGATAATTTACCGTGTGTGTGTATGTGTCACTATGTGACATAATATGACATATAAACAAGGTACGATACTTGTAATACTAATAATTTGCTTATCTCTCGATAAAGAAGAATATAGCAAGGTTTTCTGTTCAAGGAACAAGTTCTTTTTTCCAAAATGTTTCTTTATATAAATAAAAACGCTAAATATACAATGGTATGAAACTATAATGACATTATCACTTGTCACTTTTGTAACTTCATTATCCTTCATTCGACACCTCCCCCAAGCTACAATGAAAAATTATGAACAGAAGTTACTATCGCAAGGGGAAGTGCTAGCCAAACATTGCTATAGGCATAGCTGAGTGGTTTCGTGTTCAAGCTATACATTACAATTTATTTTGGATTTGCTAATCTTACTTCAAGACAGGTCTGGTGGTGGTGAATGTTAATTGGCGTGATATGATCGATAGATCAACAGTCAGACATTTTGTACATGCGCGTGCCTTTAACTTTTAACATTGTGTTGGCAAGGTTTATTTCAATAAACTATGGGCTGTTTTTCATCTCGTGTAATTTTTGTTCAAAAATACGAAACATTAATCTCTGCTAAAAACATTGCTTGAATATATACGAAATTCACATTTAATTCACAAGAGATTGTGTGTGGTAATCAGTTTCTTAGTAAATACTGAAAATAGACATGTTTTTTCTTTCAATAACCACCCTTAAAAGCAAGCCTTCCAAACACTCGAATTAAGCACATCAGAAAGAATACTTCTTTTGATTAGAGCTATGTGACTATGTCGATAATACTATATCAGGGCAGGTGTGTCAAAATTTGACGACTGACTTTTATCGTGGATGGTGGATTTGGCACGTATACCATGTGGATCATCATGGTTATTTCAAGGTTTATAGAGGACATTTGCGGGTAATGTGATTATAGTTATGATTGCATGCATAACTGTGTATTTTCATAAAGGACCATAAGTTTTTTTAAATGTATGCCATTGCATTCAATAAACGCAGTGTTTTGGGAGATGTACCCAAAGGCCAAGAAATTAAAAACGAAACGTGAATATTCCTGAAAGCTGAAATAAATAATGTTATGAGAAATTGGCTTCGCTTGGCCCCAAATGTGGACACTGTTTTTTCCAAAACAAAACGAAATGGGAGGGAAAACCGGTGGATCCGGGAAAAAACCCTCCAATAATAAAAAAGATCAAAAATTTAGAAAAATTTCCTTAAATTTTTGTAGTTTTAAGATGTTTCCTTTTTGTTGTTTGCAATGATCCCGATGATCTATTTTAATATGCTGCAGCGTAGTCAGATCATGCGTATAAAAAATTTAAATTTACAGAGCGACAAAAAAGCGGACTGACTACCCTATTGACACAGCAAATATTTTGTGTTCAACAAAAGAAACGCAAACTTTCGTAGAGAACAAAAAATGAAAGAGTGCAAAATATTAACAAAGATTTTGATAAATAGACGAAAAATGAAAATTAAAAGCATTCCATAAAATTTTATGAAAAAATTATCCAGTACGTACGACATGATTATTCACTTGTCAATAACAATGAAAAAATGAAATGACCAAAATGACGTCATGACTTGCATAAAAATCATTTTTGATGTCTACTAGACTTCATTCAAAATTTCTATGTTGCTTTGTTAAGACCTTCATTAACAGCTGGCTTTCACTCACGTGTTTTGTCAGAAAATTTAACAATTGTGAAAATTTAGTTTTAAACGGTTGTACTTGAAAATGCGTTATACTGATGAACATTATATGCATAAAAAAAGTGTGATTCTTTCTACAAGGACGCTTGTTTCTTGGTGCTTCTGTCCGACTTAGTCGTTCATTAATTGTCCAGTTAGTAAGCCTACAGAAAAAGCCACTCTACAAAAAACACGTTGTAAATGTCAGCAAAAGAATGATCAAGAACAGAATTTAAATATATTGAAAAGAACAAAACTTTTATACCTGATTTCCAAGCGTTGTCCTGGTCCGTCTGATCCAGGCGACTTAGTCGGTCTCTTCCTATTTTTTTATCGCGCAGTTTTTGCGTGCATGTCGTAGAAATATATGGTAGCATTTCTATCTTCGAAATTCAATGACCCCTAGCTACTTGCAGCATTGCAATTTTCGTTATGAACGTTAAATGTAATTATCAAAAAGTAGTGAATGAAAGCCAGCTATATTCTTACAGCAAGTGACATCTTTCGTTGATAAACAAAAATTGACAAATTTTGTCATTAAAAACCGACTGTTTTTATTATATTTGGGTGTTTTTCATGATTAAGGCTCAAATTATAAAAATAGACCATCAGGATCCTTTTTAACTATCTCATGCAGATACTCATACAACACTTATCTACTCAACTTACAAACCACAAGATATGAATCGTGTTTTTCCACTCGCTTGTTTTCCATCTTCGTAGAACATATTTCTTTTTTTATTCCAGTGATTTCAATATTATGTTCATACGTACATATGCCACAAAGCGATGTCCATTCAATACCTTTATACCATTCCATAAACAAAGTACTCAACATCGTTAACCAACAAAGTAGCTAGTGAAATCATGAATCGCCATTTCGACAGATTACAATTTACAATGCACTATTATGGTAACTTCAAGCGAAGGAAAAGGGATCACTTCAATACCCCAGTTATATCATCACTTAAAGAATGCTTAGCGCAGAGTTGATCTTCTATGAGTATCAGCTGACCACCTTAGGTGGGCGCATATAACAATGGGGCCCATCATCATTATATGAACAAACAACTGACATAAACAGAGAATCCAAACTACAGATAAACATTCTTGGCCATGAATCACCATGACACATAAGCAACGAGAAACTAGTAAGAGTAATTGAAGTGAATGGCACAGGTGGTAAGGGCACTTTCACAACTCCATCCATGTGGGATCTACAATATAAGAAAATATGAAACACATGTACAAGATTTTATGATGAATATGACGTTAGTTTGCGATTTTAATTCTTAATCAGATATATTGAGAATGAGAAAATTGCAATATGTTTTATGTTTGACGATCCAAATGGTAGAACAGTCACCTACATTGCACGAAAAGCTTCAGTCAGTTGAGTTTGAACGATGCAACAAGAACTTTCGAACGATCTCAGGCTTAACATCGTGGTTAACGAAAATTGCAGTGAAAGCTTTCATATTTCGCGGCCTGCACTAAGACTAGTTGATTATTCCACGCAACTCATACTTCTTTATATCGTCAGTAAAATGACAGATTTACCTTTTCTTCTATAACGTTAAAGTGACTAATTTTCCGTTGAAGTGAAAACACACGAATTTTCTATATGTTAGCCAACATTTCTGTAATTGACGTCATGACTATAATTTTATTGTGATTGGCTCCTTAGGAGCTTATCGCTATTCACAAAGACAAATTCAGTGTACTTATATTTATTGCATATATTCAGTAATGACTAATGTGACATTAAAGAAACAAACTAAAAATCAGCAGCATCAATAAAATTTATTGCGATTTTCACAAGAACAATATAATCAAGAAGCAAATAGTTATTTAACGTCAGTGTAGTTACTTACATTGGTACTCACTTGACTTAGTTCCTCCTCTCCTCGTGGTATCTTAACAATCGGATTTTCTCACAGATATCGGAAAAATCCTCTTGCTGTTGATCGGATTATGCCAATATTATCGGCTATTACCAAGTAGTGTTGAAAACGCTAACCAACCTTTTCCTTTCTTCTTTTGTAGCGACTTCAGTTCTACGAGCGTATTTTCAAATGTATTTTTCTATGTTCTGAAAAAGTTTCTTCAAACTGAAAGATTCCAATTCTTGTTCAGTTGCATTCACAGATGTTGGCGGTCTTGCTTTTCTTATCAACACGTTCAAATTCATCGGCAAACAAATGAGACGTCTTCCGGTAACTTGTCGTCGATGACAGTTGAAGCCAACAACTTTATTTTGCTCTGCACAATCAAAAATCTTTATACTTGTCGCCTATGTGTATAGTCTTGTTCCATCTTTTATGAACAACATCTGCTTTCCATGACGCCTCGTGACTTGTATGAGGTAAAACTTGAAGTGAATCGTACCTTTATACATAGTGTTAAGCATATCATTATATGTATTTGTTCCACATGAATTGTTCGTACTTGAACAAATTATCGGATATCTATCAAATCTAAATTTTGAAAACAAAACTTATTGTTGCCAAACAAAAGAACTATCATCTCCCTTCATTAATAAACGTAAAATGCAAATGACAATTGACCATTTTTCTGTGATATTACGCAAATCATTAAACCATTAAATAACGCAAATATGAGTTTGGCCATTAAGATGTTGGTGACGTCAAGTTTTGAAACTTTTTATAAACGTCGAGACGTGTTGGAAACGATTGTTTATCACTATGAACTTGAAGATTGTTATTTAATTATAGAAATGGTGAAATAGTTCGAACTTTTGCAGCTGCACAAATATAGACTATATAGTTACAATTCGTTCTGCTCGTTCGGTGAGCAACGAGCTCACATAAATTCTTCGATCAAATTTTATATCATTCTTGTGGGTGTTAGCAGGCGATCAGTCACGATGGTCAATTCTGACACAGCTTACCATGGATTTCTAAATGCAAATTATTTTTTATTGAAATTCATGGTAAGACAACCTAAAATAAATGTAGATTAACGTAGAAGACAAGCATTTTTTGAATAGCAAGAACTAAAGAAGAAAATCGCATATAATAGACTAAATACATACAGGCGTTTCATATTCCTGACAAGAAATATCCGCAGCTTTTGTATAAAATGAAGACAAAAATATGTACAAGGTCCGAATTTTTCCATGCCAACTCCACTCGATGTTCCGGTGCGAATCCTGCCTGTTTCCTCGAAACATTCAACGCCTGACCAAAAGTCCACTACTATCAACGTGAAAGACAGAAAACAAGTGACGCTGGTAAACAATAGAAACGTGAAGAAAAGATGTGAATGAAAAAAACGTGAAAAAGAGATGTGAAGGAGAAACGTGAAGAAGAGAAGTGAAGGAGCGATGTACAACTTAGAAGATAACACGATATGTACTTTTTATATTTTCTTAATTTTGCGAAAAATTTTGGCAAATGCTATTTGTGCCCGCACTCGATTGCACCGAAGCCGGCGTACTTCGCTTGACGTAAATCATCACGATATTAAATTGCTTTGGAATTTCTATTTAATCTCTTTGTTTTAAGCATTTTAATAAAGAGCGCTTCATCCAATTCAAAAATACCAGGGCGGATCTTGAACATACAGACAAGAACCTCGAAAATAACGCGGACAATGAGAGCGCCTTTCACTCGACCTAAATCGTCTCGATAGTAATTGGTTTTGGAACCTTTATTTAATATTTTTTATGCATTTAAAAAATGAAAGCTGCAGTTGCTACGCTGCGCTAAACCCAAAGATCATGCCATGGGCGTTAGTAAGGTTTGTATTCTAGAAATATAACACATTAAAACTATTTTCTTCCTGTCAAAATGACACATCTTGTTAAAATCATGCGCTACCACTTTGGGGAAATCTCTAACCATATTGACTACAGTTTCCATAGTAGCATATTGTGGTTAACTCGGTGGAATGAGTTCCTAAGGATTTGCTGTTTCAGCATTTCAGACAACACTGGAATCAGTACGAAGAATCATTGACAGTTTATCATTATTATTAAATAGACTACTGTCTTCAGCCTCATTTTCATTCACAGAAATTGTCACATCATCATGAGCGACTACCCCATCTTTATCTTCGTATGTATCCATTTGACTATGCTGTCTCTTTAATTCATTTAATTCGGGATCGTTCTCTCTTGCTTCTCTCTCTTCGTCAAAATCTCCTTCAGAATACTTCAAATCATCACCGAAGCCATAGTAACTTGAACTCGGTACACTGAATTTCTCATGATCGTTTTGTACTCTTCCCCAAGCCTTTAGCTTAGACTCAGCTCTTGTCTCCTCTGGATTAAAGGTTTCTATTCTCTCACTGTAACCTATTTAAGAAAATACAAAAGTACGTAAGGGCAACAGCTTCTCCACTACTTACAATGTGTGTCAATGTAGGTAGTGATGTAAAAACAACAAAGAACAAGAACAGTCTTTAAATTACATAAAATATAAACTAAGGAACGTAGGTCAAAGAAGGTAGTGATGTATGAACAAAAGAGAACGAGAACTGTCTTTACATTAACTAAAATATAAACTAAAATAAAGTTTGTCAGTGTAGGTAGTGATGAATGAACAACAGAGTCAGAGATCAGTCTTTACACAACCTAAAATAAAAACTAAGATAACGTGTGTCAGTGTAGGTAGTGATGAATGAACAACTGAGAACGAGAACAGTCTTTACATGGCTTTGAAGTGTGTTTGTAGGAAATTTAGTAAAATTTTTACAAACAAGAAATGTTACCTCGAAATAGAGCCATAGCGTTTTGTTTATCTTGACCCATTGTAAACTCGTTTTGAATCTCCAACATTTTATTTTGCAGTTCTTTCACCATTTCAATCAACGTTGACATGTCCCGGCTCTCATCGACTACATTGGTAGAAAAATCAGGACCGTAAAATATAAAATCCCAAACGGGGCGGGTAAAGTTGTATGTCTTGTTGGGTCTCTCCTGTAAACAAGGTATGAGTGTTTTTTTATTTCGCCATGGAAATGAAGACCTCTTCCGTTCTATGTCAATTATCATTTTTGCCTAAATCGATTAAAAGAAAAATGTTATAAATATCATAACGATTGCTTTCATTCACCTCATTCATTCATCACCACATACATCGTTATCTTAGTTTAAGTAGTGTAAAAATTGTCCCCGTTATCTGTTTTCATTCATCACTACCTACAATGACACACGTTATCATAGTTTATATTCTAGATAGTGCAAAGACTATTCTCGTTCTCCATTGCTCATTCATCACTACCTACACCAACACACGTTATCTTAGTTTATATTTTAGATACTGTAAAAACTGTTCTTGTTGTTTGACGTTCATTCATCACTAACTTCATTGACATACGTTATCTTTAGGATCTAATTTAAAAGGTTCATGAATATCCTTACCGTTTGAATGTGTTTCTGCAGCTTAGCGTGTTGCATAATGCTACTGGTATCATCAATGGCAAGGGCAAGCAGAAGGTTCATAATAATGATAGGCATAATGACAAGAAAACCAACAAGGAGGACCAACTGTAGTAGATAAAATGTGTTGTAATCAGAGTGGTCACCGAGAAATGTCTGTTTAAAATCAAACTCTCCCATCGTCATCGTTGCTCCAGTTAAGATAGACACGCTAAACTTCTCAAATCCCTGTCTATCATTCATTATTACTGTAAAAGCGGCAGCAAAAGCGACCAAGAAAAATATTAAAAGACCCATGACCTAATTAAGAGTTGTTGATATCATTAAACATTAGTGTAGAGGGAGAAGTCATAACTTCAGCAGACGAACCTTGATTAGTGTGAAGGAAATTTTTCTCATCATGAGAATAATTATACCGTAGGAGGCAAACCTTCTTAGATACATAATAAGATTTATCCAAGCACAGAATAACGCTACAGAACAGGCCATCCATTGAAAACTTGTCTTTACAGACATACTGTCGTTACTTGGTACAGCAAAGATGAATGTTGATACGTAGAGAACACATTCCAAATAGTTGACTTTGTCCATAAAATAATTGAATTTGTAAACGAATAACTACATAATTAAATAGAGCATGTCAATATAAAGAGATCAAATTAAGCGTAGACATATTTTGTACATTTCTTTTTAACGATTTCGCCATTCTTATATAGGGGAGAGGACAAAAAAATCAACCCTATACACAAAATTAATGTTATAGGTTCGTAGCTCGTCATTTCTTAGAGAAATGTTATAGAAATGAAGGATTGCTGTTGAAGAAAATATGAAACAAAATAGCAATGCTGCCCATTAAAACTGTAACGTTCATCACTAAATTAAAATAAAACTAAAAAGATAAATAAACTTTAACAAATAGCAGCCATATTGTTGACGTCATGCTATTGTTGTTCTGCAACTGCAATCGCACTTTCACTGAGAAAGCCGATGTTCCAAGGCAAAATACATACGTTTTCATTCTACGTATCATTCTGCTGTCATGAATAAGTCTCATTTGTTGTTGGCAGTCCCTAATATTTTATAACAGCTTTGCAATGAGCACAAACATAAAGTGGCATTTATAATTTACATGGTTTACACGAGGGAACTTTAACGACCACAAACTGAAAATGCTAACCTGACAGATTTCTTTCAATGTTTGAACGCCAGCAGATATGAGACATATAATCATCGCAACCTTAACATTTATCGACGCATTTGGTAATTCTAAACACAAATAGTTTCAATAATGAAAACATAAAACTAAACAAATTCAAGAAAGTCGTCAAATAATTAATCTCCTCGAAAATGTTTTTCGGGAACCACTGAGTATTTTAATTAAAATACATAACAACGGTAACTCCAAATATCGTAAGCATTTTGATTCAACATTTCTACTCTATTTAGTCATCATCAGGAATGATTATATTAAATGCGTGCTTAGCATATATAATAAAATTTATGTAATTTGACCAAGTTAACAGAAGACAGATAGGTGTGACCAATCCTTGCCCTGTCTATGATGTGACAGTTGTTCAGCTGGAAGAGAGTTAGGTGAAATTGTTCTGTATTTGGTTCGTCCATGTTAAGTTGTAAGAAATCAGTGAGATGGATAAATTGTTCGCAGCTGTTGATGTGTTTATAGATTTTTGATTTGTTGTCTGTAGTAGCATGTTCGTGTAGTCTTGTGTCGAGGAAAGAGAGAACTCTCTGTTTTCTGCCAACTATATCAAATCACATAGAGTCTACGTACAATGCATACACATGTAACATAATCATTTCTGATGATGACTAAATAAAGTTGAAACGTTGAATCAGAATGTTTACGTTACTTAGAGTTACCGTTGTTATGTATTTTGATTAATCTTTACATTACCATCTTTGCCAACAGACGCCTTATATGAAGGAATTCCAAACGCGTAAACGTTAAGAGAAACCAAAAACAAGAAATAAAACATAAAACTTGTTGTGTACACTTTCCATCCAAATTCCATCCATTTTGCTTTAAGGTATTTACAGCAGACAGGATGACATAGGCATTGGTAACTGCTATTTCGCAACATCGCTTTGATGGCGGTCAATGGCTTGAGTTTTTTATCTCTCTTGTTTGTAACTGCGAAAAAAGGATAACTATAAGGAAAGCCTTGTAGAAAAGGAGACAGAGTATGTACACGATAAAAACAGTAAAATGAAAACATGGTTCTAAAAACGTAGTCAGTGGCTATGTCTATACAAAATGTCTTGTTCAAATATGATAAGATATAAATAACCTAATCACGTGACTGTTTCTTTTATCCGACCTTGGCGACTTTTTGCAGACAATACAATACTTCATTAATACATGGAACCAATGATTCGTAGACTTATGGTGGTGGTGATGGTGGTGTTGTGGTGGTGGTGGTTGTTGTGGTGGTGGTGGTGGTTGTGGTGGTTGTGGTGGTTGTTGTTGTGATGGTGGTTTTATGGTGGTGGTGATGGTGGTTGTTGTGGTTGTAGTGATGATGATGATGGTGGTGGTGGTGGTGGTGGTTTCTGTGGTAGTGGTGATGGTGGTTGTGTTAATGGTGGTGGTGGTGGATATTGTGGTGGTGATGATGGTGATTATAATTGTTTGTTTATACTTTTTAATTGTATAAATGAAGAAAATACAAAGCAATAACATTTTCTTTGTGTAGAAAATATTGCACCCTGCCCCAACCACTTGGCGGAGCCATTGAGCGTAGTAGCTACTATGAGAGTTGTAGCATTCTCAATTTTTTAACGTTTTTTGAGAACTTTCTTTGGATTATGTTAAGATTCACAAGCAGATCTTTATTTTCTATATAAGATAGCACCACACCTGTATTTTGTAAACACAAAAAGTCGTATGAAACCAAATGGTCAATACTTTCTGGGTGTCCAGTGGTTTTCATGCTGTTAGAAAGAGCTCGATACGCCACTTCGGACATATTCTTAGAAATCAACTTTGCCATCGTTCCTTCTGAACCATTTTTTGTCGTCAAAATAATCTGAAAACGTAAACGACAGTTTGTCAAAACACAACAACACCAGTACACCGAAGATGCACAAGAATAAGAAACATGTTGAACATTTACTGTCAAACTTACTGTCAAACCGAATGCTATGCCTTCCACCAAATTGCTATACTGACAATAAAATCAAATACACTTAAAATAGGCGACAAATTTCTTTATAGCAAACAGGTTTCGGCATACTTTATGCCATCTTCAGTGAGAAGTGAATAAATATAGGAAGTTTACATGATAATATGTGATAGTGATAAAGTGGAAATATCAATAGTTATGAATAATTATTTACAGTTGAATAAGGTGTTATAAAATGCTATAATGAAATTTGTTGTCTACTTTAAATGTCTTATAACCATTGTGCTCAAACGAAATTATAAAAATCAAATACATTATAATGAAACATACCTCTTTCCATCTATCATGACACATCATCACCATAGCTTTTTTATTGTCATTTATGATGGCCCAATCCAAGCAGTTAAAAACTCATAATCTTTGTAATTTTCGCCATGCTATCTAGCAAATACTTCACAACATCTGCTTTGCCTTTCACAGCTGCTGTAAGCAATGCTGTTCGTTTGTATTTATTTTCCCAATCGATCATGGAAGGTTTGAACATCACCAACAATTCAACAATATTAAGATGTCCTTTGAACGCCGCAATGTGAAGTGGACTAAACATATTTCCATCCCTTAAGTACACAATAAATATTTTACTCAAATCTATCTTCCCTATCAATTAAGTTAAGACATTTTACAGTTATCTTTTTCTCTGTAAACTTCGTCGAAGGCAAGATAGAAAATTACCTCAGTATAATTGCTCCGTTATTCAGAAGACATTTGACGACCTCTGGGCTACTGAAGTTTGCTGCTGTATGGAGCGGTGTTTTCCCGGTAGCATCAACCTTGTTGATCAAAGCTGGTTCATTGGCTAGGATTAATTCAACCACATCAGAGTTCTGTGAACTAACAGCGCAATGTAATGGCGAACGAGAAGTGTTCGTGAAGACATTCAGATCAGCGTTATATTCTAACAAAATACGGACACTCTGAAATAAAGAAATGAGCCTCCTGTAATGTACTTGTGTATGTCTTGACTTAATCTCAAAGCAAAGCAACCCATTCACCTCAAGAAATCCTTTTAAGGCGGCATTATGAATGGGAGTATAACCGTCTATTTCTTTCTCGTTAATAAGCAACGGCACGAGATCTTTTTTCTACAACGTGTTTGATTATGATTAAAATTTAAAGCTTCGCTTTTCATCTCCAAACAAAACGATAGCAACCAAGTGAAAATAGTATACCTTAAGCAAAATTCTCAATGTTTCAGGATATGCAATTGCATAGTGAAGAACCGTTCTATTGCTGTCATCACGAATGGTAAAATCAGCTTTCAATTTAAGCAGTTCTTCAACGACACGAACATGACCGCGTTCAGCGGCAAGGACCAACGCAGACTGGGAGTTTTCGTCTTTTCATTGACAAAAATCTTGGATTTTGATCCAATGTAAGAGACAATACCACTGTGATTATTGATTGCGGCTCTAGAATGAAATAAATTGTCAAAGTGATAACGTCAGGCTTAAGTCCAAAAGTCCTGAATGATTAAATGTACAGATGATACGAATGAAACGTAATTTCATCATTTATTAAAAAAAACCTACTTATGAATCGGAGTGAATCCTTGTTTATCCTTTCTGTTCAACTGAAGTAAGTCCAAATGTCTCATGACATCCATAAATCGAAATAAACTCTTCTCCATGCCCTTTTTGCAAGCCGCATGAATCAAATAACCATCTCCATGTCTGATTTCTTCGCACAAATCTTCACGAATCACATTTTCATCTTGCAGACAAACTTGTACAGTACGTTCATCCCCACTGTCCACAGCAACATGAAGTATATTGCGGTAATACTTTCCACCATACCTCTCGCTGAACAATAACTCTTGCACTCTTCTTTTTTCTGAAATAGAGATGTTTTATAAATACATAGGCAGCAGGAAGGGGGCGACTGTACCTTTCGTTTAAACAAATAACATTTTCACTTTTCAGGAGGACAAACAAAAAATCCTTAATCCTTCTGCCGACGACGAAAGTCATTAAACAAAATACACATATCATGTTGCAAAAATCGTTTTACCGTGTTTCAGGAAAAGTTCAAGCATATTAGCATGTCCTTTATTAGCAGCGATGTACAATGGACATTTGTCTGTGATATCAACCTCTGTTATCTTTCCACCGTGTTCTAGCAACACCTTGGCGATCTCAACATGGTTGAACGTTGCGGCAAAATGAAGTGGCGATCGTCTACTCACGCCTTCAACATGGTTTACAAGATCAACAATGAAGTCGTGTTGCAACAAGTTACGAAGAAAATCTACATCACAAAGAGATAAGGCAATAATGAAAATCTCAGGCACTCATGTTGGCCTAGCACTGAATCAAAATTACTCCCACCCCTCTCTATCTTGGGCCCTTTTGGCGTGTTTTAGTAATTAGTATTTCAAATATTATATTGCGGATAATACATTGCTCGGTTGAAGAAAGAATGCTTATTTCATAGCACGTCTCTTACGCTGTTAGTAAATTGCTTTCAAATGCATAAAATAGCATTTACAAAGATGCAGTTTTTAAAATATTACTTGGGAAGGGTATTTCAGGTCCCTCTGCCACATGGCTCACGCTTTACGGAGTGTCTTGTGGTTGGTGCCTTCCCTGTGTAAAATCCTTAAAATATCCCTTGGCAAAGAGTATAACTATGAAATACCTTGGCCTACAACAAAATTCACCACAGATAACTTGCTACGTAGAGACAAACAACTATATGAATACGTGAATGACAACTGCATGGCAATGGGTAAACTTAGTTCGTGGTTAGTTAGAGTTGGGATTGGAGTTAGCACAAGGCTAGTGTAAGAATACCAAGAGGGATTCTATACATAATTGCTCATAGTTGACCTACATTTTAAAGCAAAGTAATCCATTACAGCAGTGACAACAAGCTTGATAGTATGTTAATATCAATCAAATTTCACAAAAACCATTTCAAGAAAATTTTGCTTTTAACAACTTATCAAACAGAAAAGCCTAAGTCCGAATACGCAGCATGGCTTCCAGCCTTACCTACGTCACCCATTCTCGTGGCTACATGAAGTACACTCTCTCCGTTCTTAGCTATCACACACTTGGTGTCTTTTACGTGATTTAACAAGGAAGTAAGAGAATTAAGACTACGCGACTCCAAAGCGTAAAATATACATGGTTGTCCTCTTTCATCAGTTTTCGAGAGTAATCTTTGAACTACAAAAGAACATTTAAATATCGAGCTGGTTGAAGGAAAAGAGATTAATATTTCATCAACGAAATACTAACTTTCACGGTCACTTCTTTTCTCTCTCAAAATATTATTGATCATTCTTTGGTCGTCATAAATTGCCGCCAGTTTCATTTGATCAGCTAAACTATTTTCCACCTTACTCCCGTTTTCGTCAACGTCACTCACAATTACAAATGTCATTTTCCCGTCTGTATGAGAATTTTTAAAAATTTTTTTTTGACAAATGCATTTGTCATAGAAAATTTGAGAACATGAGTGATTTTGTTCGTCTGTAAGGTCTATAAAGATAATAAGACAAATCAACCAAATGTGATACGTTGATACGTACAGACGATCAAAGAAAATTTGCCACATACAAATTTGTCGCAAAGATTTTATTGCCCGTACACACGTGCATGCGAGTATTTGTCACAGAAAATTTGTTCGTATGTAAGGAGCTTTAAATTATATCATAGGTACACACATACTCAACAGGGTAGATAAAGTCTTACACACCTGGATTAAAAGAAATCGTCCAGATCAGTTTTACACCACGAGATGTTTGCAAACTATAAGAAATAAAAGATGCAGTTTGGTCGAGTTTTATGTTGATCGCATCAATAAAAACAACCTTTATAAACACTCAGCCACGTACGTAGTACAGTCAATAATTTTAGGTAATCAACAATAGAGCTAATTTTTCCAATACTTTCTGCACAAGTAAAATAAATTCGTCAACTTCTGAAAGAAAGTTTTAACGAACATAGACGCTGTTTGATTCAAAACAAACTAGCGACAGCAATATTTATACGAAAATAAGAGGCAGTATAAATAGACTGCAGAGGTGTAAATAAGTAAAAACGTCCTTTTACATACCTTCCATGAGAACTGCAAGCCCACGTAAAATAATTATCTTGTGACGTATAAACCGTTTTCTCCTTGTTCGGGTTTCATTACTTGCACCAATTACCTTGTACCGTTCACTAAAATTTCTTTATGCATAACTCCTTTGAAAAAAATAAAGATGTCTTTTTCATAGCATGTATAGTCTTAATACTTGAATTGACGGTTTTGTAGAGTTCACGAGCAAACGCAAAGAGATGTAAGTACCCTATCAACTTTCGTGGGAATGGAGTAGACCGCAGTGGACGGGATATTGTAAATGTGTAACAAGGAGAGAGAAAATCGGCATTAAGATTTCGGGCTTTACACGAAAAGCTGTTCATAAGAACATAATTGCAGTTGTTACAATAAATTTGCAATAGCATCGTAACGAAAATTTGTTAAATATGGTCAGGTTAATAGGGAAAAAATAAACACCAATGTATGATACAGACTTTTATATGTAAGAAAATAAGAGGCAGTATAAATAGACTGAAGACATGTAAATAGGTAAAAACTTCCTTTTACATACCTTTCATAACAACTGCAAGCCCACGTAAAATAATTATCTTGTGACGTATACACCGTTTTCTCCTTGTTTGGGTTTCATTACTTGAACCATTTACCTTGACCGTTCATTAAAATTTCTTTATGCATAACTCCTTTGAAAAAAATAAAGGTGTCTTTTTTATAGCATGTATAGTCTTAATACTTGAATTGACGGTTTTGTGGAGTTCACGGGCAAACGCAAAGAGATGTAAGTACCCTATCACCTTTCGTGGGAATTGAGTATTCCGTAGTGGACGAGATCTTATAAATGTGTAACAAAGAGAGAAAAAATCGGCATTAAGATTTCGGGCTTTACACGAAAAGGTGTTCTTAAGAACATAATCACAGTTGTTACAATAAATTTGCAATAGGATAGTAAAGTAAATTTGTTAAATGTGGCCAGGTTAATAGGGAAAAAATAAACACCAATGTATGATACAGATTTTTATATGTAAGAAAATAAGAAGCAGTATAAATGGACTGCAGACATGTAAATAAGTAAAAAGTTCCTTTTACTTAGCTTAACTTCCTTTTATTTAGTCTTATTACTTGAAGTGACGGTTTTGTGGAGTTCACGAGCAAACGCAAGGAGATATAAGTAGCCTATCAACTTTCGTGGGAATGGAGTATTCCGCAGTTGTCGGGATCTTGTAGATGTGTAACAAGTAGAGAGAAAATCGGCATTAAGATTTCGAGCTTTACACGAAAAGCTGTTCATAAGAACATAATTGCAGCTTTTATATTAAACAAAGACGAGGTTCGTTTGTCGGCAGATTATCAATCTCAGGTGTACTGGTTGAACTTTGACAGGCTTGAATCCACATTATCAATCCACGACAAAACCATGAAATTGAGAACCCCCCCCAAAAAAATGGCATTGACGTTATTTTATTGACATACGAAGCAGGACTATTTCACCTACCTTATTTCCAAAGCACTTGTCTTCAGGCATTTTTTGCCGTCTTGTATGCCTTTTTTGTCGACTTTTAAAAGCATTCGCCGATGCGTCTACATTTTCATAATCATTGATGACAAAATAAGATTACCAGGGACGCCGGAACTGGGGGGCAAGGGGGGCAACGCCCCCCTTGCCTTTTTTGGAGGTGGGCAGGGGGGGCAAAATTGCCCTACAGGTTGAAAATTTATTGTTTTTAATCCAAGATAAAGACTACTTAACCGTTGTGGGATATTGCATTCTTTTTAGCTTAGCAATAAAATTGTCGTAACTATGTTAGTTTTCCTTTGACATTTCTTTGTTTTAAGTACGTTTTGTAAGTTCTTTGTTTGTTTAGTTCTTCATTTTTGTTGCAACGCGTGAGAACTTGAAACGCAATGAAAGAGTGAGTAATGAAACAGAGACTTTGTCGTGGTGACAAACTTAAAGATAGATTTCAAAATAGCAAATACCATGGTGAATGGTGATAATAACAATGTAATAGTTCTTAAAAGAACTGTTTTAACAAAAATACTAACCAAACAATTCAAAGGAACCGTTATTTACAGCTAGAAAGAGACACTATGCATTTCGGCAGACTACTCATCAGGTGTCAACGTCTGCTAAATGAGAACCTCCAAACCATGCTATATTTATAACGTTACAAAAGGTCAATGTCATCCCTATTTTTAGAGATGACACTTAAAACAGAGACAGATTAAACACGTAATCCTTTTGTCGGCAAAGGACAGGATTAGTCAATTTAATTAATACCGACTCCATGACGCGTAGCTGGAATAACGAGCGACATTTTTTAATAATTCTAAAGTTTTCATCAGAATAAGCATTGGCACAGCGAATGTTGCTCAAAAGATTTTTTCCAATCGCTGAATCACATAGAATCGGATTTTCACTTTTACACCCACGTTTTGGTGTAAAGGAACAATTTTATTCCTGACAGAAGCTGGTACATGCTGTTTTATTCTTTCACTCAACCTTTGAGAAGTCCTACCTACATATCGAGCATCACACTCACATTTAAGCTCGTAGTCTACATTGCTTGATATTTGAGCAGGGAGAGACTCTTTGGGAGTGGGTGGAAGAATAGTTCTTCTTGAGAATATAAAGACCACATTGCATGCAAAAGACAAACTCTCGGTGATATTTTTAGTTTTCCTCTCGATGTCATTTAGTTTCCCTCTTTGCTCGAGAAGCTTTCTAATAAGCTGCAAGCGGTTGCTATTTCAGCTGAGTACGCTCTATTTTCAATAAGACATGTCCTGCAACGTCTTCATGAGATGAGAAGCGAAGAAGAGTTTGAGCGTACACTTGATGACGCTAAGAAAGTTTTTCGTGTTATGATGTCGTTTCCACTGGAATTTAGTGAAAAATTTGGCACTGGCACTTGACTAAGAAAAGTTCCAAGATTGATGAATAATGAAGAAATGTTAATAACAGAAAGCCTTCACGTCACAGACGCCTCAGTTTACAACAGTGCGAATATAACACCAATGCGAAGCTCGTACTACCAAGCCATTGATGCAATCATCTCAGGTCTAGGATCGCGATTTGAACAAGACGATCTTTTCCAGATCAAATGTATTGAGAAACTGTTACTTAACTCTATGAAAGAAAGATGAGTATCTTTAGACGGATTAAGCAATTCTTTGATTGATAAAGATGCTCTAAGAAAGCAGCTTGATGATCTTCCCACCATTCTTGGGCTTTACAACGCGGATCAGAGAAAAAAATAACAGAAGTCACGCGTATTTCAACAATAGCAGAGATATTCAATGCCATGTCGTCAGCAAAGAAAAGGTGCTCAGATATTGTTGTATAATTTAGGATATTTCATTTATATTTTTGCATGCCAGATTTTATAAGTTCCCATGCAGAGTTTTATGTGTGCCAAAATTATAATTAGGGTGTATATACTTAACACTTCCTAAGTATTTTCTCTCTTAATTAATTCATGTTGTAATAGTGCACGTAAGTCACGAAATGTAAACATATAAATAGACTCAAATTTGTAATAGTCAAAGAGATTGTGTAGATTGTTCATTGCTAATAAACTCCATAAAACAAACCGAATCAGAGTGCAGATCAATTTTCTGGACGAACTCAGTGAATTCTGCGACAAGTGGTCCTTCGAGATAGTATGGAGGAGTTAGCAAGAAAGAAAGAGTACGAGCAGGTCATCGCGGTTACCTGACGAAAGTTGTGGCGTCGGCAGCAGGCTTAGTCGACGCATTCGATGAACGAAGAAAGAATGACGCGGAACAGCAACGCGACAAAATCTTGGAGACAGTCGCTATGCTCCAAAAACTGGATGAAGACATCCTTAACTTGATTGCTGGGGACGAAGAAGCGTCAGAACTTGACATTGTCAGCGAAGTCGAGGAAGCTGGAAGAATAAGTTCTGAAGCAAAATCGATGGCGAGGAAGCTTCGCCAAAAGATTGACGGCAATTGCGCTTCGGAAAATAGAATGAACAGTTCGTTAAGGTCTGACGGAGGAGCGTCGGTGACCAATAGAACAGTTTGCGCAAAATTGCCAAAGCTGCATGTTAAGCGGTTCAATGGAAATGTTTGCGAATGGCAGGAGTTTTGGGATTCCTTCGAAAGCGCCATTCACGGAAATGGAAGTTTGTCCGACGTTGACAAATTCAATTATCTTTTAGGCGAACCAGCGAAGTCATGTATCGCGGGATATTCTTTGACTTCGGCGAACTACAACGCTGCAATAGACGCGTTGAAGGAACGCTATGGGAAGCCAGAATCGGTCCAACGAGCGCACATGCAAAACTTTTGAACTTAGATAGAGTGAAAGATCCGAGAGATATTACGTCTCTTCGTCACTTGTGTGATAGTGTCGAAGCACATCATCGAGGTTTGGATGCATTGGGAGTGGACAGCGCTACGTATTCATCAATCGTGGTACCTTACGTTTTGAACTTGATACCGGAATCGATTCGATTGTTGATCACGAGAGGCGAAAACTTCCATCAGTGGGATATGGACGATATGTTAAGAGCGTTAAAGTGCGAAGTTGAGCTGCGAGAAGAGCATCGAGTTCAGAGAGCAACGAGAACGGCATGGTGATCCTGAGAAGTCGTCAAATGGAGCCAGGCGGAACGATACGAAAACAGCAAGCGCCCTCCTGACAAAATCGGGACCGGTTCGTTGCGCATTCTGCCTGGGATGTCATCGGCATGAAGAATGTGAGAAGATCAAGTCAATTGAGGAACGTAAGAATATTATTAAGAAATACGGTCGTTGTTATATTTGTTTGGAAAAGGGCCACAAGGCTCGTGACTGTGACAACAATATTAAATGTAGTATATGTAAGAAGAATCACCACAAGGCTCTGTGTGATTCGGGAAGGAAAGTAAGCCCCAGGAACTGTTGGACAAGGGAGGTTGGGAATGTAGATGCCAATAGTAGTAATACTCTATTTGTAAGTCCTAAGAATAGTTGTGAAAAGCAGGATGCAATGTTGCTTTGCAAACTGCACAAGCAAAACTGGTTGGTAGTAAGTCGGGACGAGTAAGGGTTTTGTTGGATTCTGGGAGTCAGAGATCATTTGTTACTGAAAGGACGGCTAAAGCGTTGGGATGTAAAGTCGTTCGTGAAGAAAATCTGAGAATAGGAACGTTTGGGAAAAGGGCTTTAGAGAACGAGTTGAGAAGGGTTGTGCGATTGGATTTGAGTTCGTTGTCGGGTGGTGAAGTCGTATCTATCGAGGCATATGTTGTACCAGAAATATCAGTAATTAGTAATCAACATTTGGAGGTGGTTCGAAATAACTTTGAACATTTGAAGGGGTTGTGGTTGTCTGATGTTTGTAAGGTAAATGAGGAATTGGAGGTAAACGTACTCGTGGGTGCGGATTACTTGTGGTCGTTGCAGAAAGGTCGTATTATGCAGGGAAGCAGGGAGCCTGTGGCTATCGAGACGGTGCTTGGATGGGTAGTTTCAGGGCCGGTTGGAAGCACGGATAAGAATCAACCCGCCACTGCTCAGGTAAATTTTTGCTCCGCTAATAAAACTTGTATCAACGTAGAAAACTTTTGGGATTTAGAAAGCCTAGGAATTAAGGACAAAGTAAGTGATGTGCATGAATCGGTCATAAACGATCTTAGTTTTGACGGTACGCGTTATTCAGTGGGGTTGCCCTGGAGGAGGGTCACGATCCTTTACCTACTAACTATGACTTAAGTCTTAAGAGAATGAAGGGACAAATCAGACGACTAGGTAAGAACCCAGAATTACTGAAGGAATATGACACTATCATTAAGGCCCAAGAAGAGTTAGGCATCATAGAGAGGGTAGGAAAAGATAGTGTGATTAATTCTCATGCCAAAATACATTACATGCCTCATCAAGCTGTCGTGCGAAAGGATGCCAAGACGACAAAGGTTAGAGTGGTTTATGACGCAAGCGCTAAAGTACTCAAGTCAAGTGTCTCTTTGAATGATTGTTTGCATATCGGACCTTCACTTAATCCACTTTTGTTTGATATTCTGCTTAGGTTCCGTGAGCAAAGAATAGCGCTAATAGCGGACATAGAGAAGGCCTTCCTAAACATTGAAGTGCACGAAAGGGATCGAGATAGCCTAAGGTTTTTGTGGGTAGATGATGTACTGCGCAACAATTTGAATCTTGTAGTTTACCGTTTTGTAGAGTCGTATTTGGGGTGAATTCGTCACCATTTTGCTTAATTCGACGTTAAGGCATCATATTAGCAAATATTTACAGTGCGATAGGGAATTTTCAGAAAAACTGCTAAAAGCTTTTACGTGGACGATCTTGCCAGCGGTGAATCTAGTACAGAGCGAGCGTATCAGCTATATCGTAAGGCCAACGAACGCATGAATGAAGGCGGATTTAAGTTACGCAAATGGCGGACTAATGATAGTGCGTTAAGATCGCAAATTGAAGAAGATGTGCGTGACGTGGAAAGTAGTTTGTTGATGAGCAAACGTATGCGAAAACCACGCTTGCTCAAGTACAGGGTCAATTTGGTAAAGTATTAGGGTTGGAATGGGATAGCGTCGGGGACGTAATAATATTCGATTTCGAAAATTTGAGTGCGAAAGCGGAAAACACGGAACCGACGAAGAGAAATGTGTTGAGTCTGTTAGCTTGTATCTTCGATCCATTAGGGCTCTTGAGTCCTACGATTGTTAAAGCTAAAATTCTCTTTCAAGATATTTGTTACAGTGGCGTGGATTGGGACGATACATTGCCTAAAAGTGTGAAAGAGAAGTGAGAAGTGGTTGAGAGATCTAAAGGAGGTAAAGAGTGTTTCAATAGGCAGGTACTCGAGCGGCGTGACTGACACATCTGGCTCAGAATCAAAGCAGAGATATTTTTTGCATGGATTTGGGGATGCGTCAAAGCGAGCTTATTGTGCGGTTGTGTATCTAGTAGTTTTGAACGGTAACGATGTTCGTGTTAAGTTGATTGCCAGCAAAACAAGAGTAGCCCCGATGAAAGAACTTAGTATTCCGCGGTTAGAATTAATGGCAGCTAGAATATTGGCTCATTTAATGTCTGCAGTCAGGAAAGCGTTAGAGTCAGAGTATAATTTTGAGGGCGTTAAGTATTGGACTGATAGTATGACTGTTTTGTATTGGATAGTCAACTCAGGCAATTGGAAGCAATTTGTTCAGCATAGAGTTGACGAAATATTAAGGCTTAGTTCAAAACAGAGTGGAGTCATTGTCCAGGTAAGGAAAACCCTGCAGATTTAGGGTCGCGAGGGTCTTGATGACTGAGTTAAAGAACGCGGAGGTTTGGTGGTCAGGACCGTCTTGGTTGGGGTAGTCCAAGGCATTATCCTATGGTGAAGGAGATAGTTCCCACAGTAGACAGCAAGGTTGAAGAGAAAAGGTCATTTGTTGTTAACCTAATCATAAGTGCAAGGTCATTGTTTGGAATTGGCAATGTCATTAGCATAAATACAGCACACTTACACGGCTGTTAAGAGTTACTGCGTGGGTGAAGAGATTCGTCTATAATTTGAAACAAAAAAGACTAGGATTAGAAATTTTTACCGGACCAATAAAAGCGAGCGAAATGAATGATGGAGAATGCGAGTGGATAAAGTCAGCCCAGCTAGAGTTACGAGAGCAACCCGAGTTTAAGCAGTTAGAAAGACAGTACGGACTGATAGAAATGAACGGGATACTGCATTGTACGGGAAGATTGGGTGAATCAGATTTGGAGGCAGAAGCTAGAGAGCCGATTGTTTTGCCTAGGAGACAGTATTTCACAGAGCTAGTGATTAGGCAGTGTCATGAATCTGTTATGCATGGGGGGAGTTCGGAGCACGTTGGCGCAACTGAGGTCGAAGTATTGGGTACCCAAGGGCAGACAGGAAGTTAAGAGAGTGAGCGGTGGATGTGTAGCTTGTAAACGATGGAACAGTAAGCCGTGTACACAAATAAAGCAAGCAGCGTTACCAGAGTTTAGGGTTAGGAGAGCCGCACCATTTGAAAATTCAGGCGTAGATTTTGCAGGACCTTTGTACGTAAAAACAAAGGCAAGTATGAGCAAGGTGTACATTGCGCTGTTCACCTGCTGTGTGACACGCGCGGTTCACTTAGAGTTAGTGCACGATTTGAGTGCAGCGACATTTCTGCGCTGTTTAAGAAGATTTTTTGCAAGGTTTGGAACACCGAAACTTATTGTTTCTGACAACGCCAAAACATTTAAAGCCGCAAAAAAGACGTTGCGCGACTTATTTCAATGCGAAGAAGTAGATAATTGCCTTAGCGCTAAGAACATTGAGTGGCGATTTAACCTAGAGAGGGCCCCATGGTGGGGAGGGTTTTTTCGAAAGGATGATAGGGCTAGTGAAAGTCTGTTTAAGGAAAGTTTTGGGCAATGCAAAACTTACTTTCGACGAACTGACAACTGTTCTAGCTGAAGTTGAAGCTAATTTGAATTCTAGACCCTTAACGTATGAGTACGAGGAAGTGAATAGTGAAGTACTTACTCCTGCACATTTAGTCTATGGTAGGCGCATCGTGACATTACCCGATAGCAAGGACTCAAAATTAATGATTTAGGACAAGATTCGACTAGAACAAACACTAGGACACGATTCAAACATTTAAGTACCATACTGGAGCATTTTTGGAGCAGGTGGAAACGGGAGTATCTCACGAATCTTCGGGAATTTCATAAGGTTGGGATGGCAGACAAACAGTCGGCGATAATTAAGCCAGGGGATGTGGTCATTGTGTTTGAGCAGGGTAAGAAAAGGGGGGAGTGGAAGACAGGTGTGATTCAGGAATTGATTTGTGGCAAGGATAAGGTCGTTCGTGGTGCAAGGGTTTGCGTGATGACAAACGGTCGTCGCCAGGTGTTGAATAGAGCGATTCAGCATTTATATCCAGTTGAGGTTAAAGACGAGAGTAAGGTTGAAGGGGTTGTTAAGGAGGATATAGTTAGCGGATGTAAGGAGAAGACTAAGAGAAAGGCGGCTTTGGACGCCAGGTGGAAGGGCGATGCTTGACTCCTGAGTGAGTCAAGGGGAGAGTGTTGTATAATTTAGGATATTTCATTTATATTTTGCATGCCAGATTTTATAAGTTCCCATGCAGAGTTTTATGTGCCAAAATTATAATTAGGGTGTATATACTTAACACTTCCTAAGTATTTTCTCTCTTAATTAATTCATGTTGTAATAGTGCACGTAAGTCACGAAATGTAAACATATAAATAGACTCAAATTTGTAATAGTCAAAGAGATTGTGTAGATTGTTCATTGCTAATAAACTCCATAAAACAAACCGAATCAGAGTGCAGATCAATTTTCTGGACGAACTCAGTGAATTCTGCGACAGATATCTACAAACTAATTATACTATACTACACAGTGCCACTCTCATCTGCCTCTTGCGAACGCACTTTCAGCGTAATGCGTCGTCTCAAAACATGGCTGCGGTCAAACACTGAAGGAAATCATCTGAATGATATTATGTTCTCCAACATTCAGAAGCAACACATGGATATGGTGGAAATAGACGTAATTGCCAAAGAGTATTCACAGAGAAATGAAAGAAGAATTAAATATTTTGGAAAATACAATACATGACAAATTGTAAATTAGTGACGTTACATCGTTTGATAGTTATATTATCGTTAATATTTATCGACCAACACTGCGGACATGTGCTTTTGTACAGTGTATTGCATGTAGCACATATCTTGGCTGTTTATCAATATGAGATTATTTTTAGTATATTTCACTAATGTGCCCTTCCACAAAGGCTTGCCGCTTCTGCCCTTTTGCCGTTCCGGCGTCCCTGAAGATTACATCCAGTCTCGTTAAATAAATAAATGAATAGATATTTTGCACACAGACATTTTGTAAAAACTCTAATTTGCCGCCATTGCAGGCCCTATTGCAAAGTGTCGTCGCTTCTATGTTCGATAAATTACTCTGCTCGTTCTTCGTAAGTATCTTGATTTTACTATCACCGAGCAAAATATTTTAGTTCAGTCCCAATCGAAAAAATTGAAAAGACTAACGGCATCTGTAGAAGAAAAACCTCTCATGGCATATTTAGGAATTAGGAGGGAAATTCAAAATGTCTCAAGTCTAAAATGAACGTGTACGTCACGCGTGATCTCCGAGAAAAACTTGCTGGGGATATGTATATCAGGAAGGTTTTCTTCTCTTGCCTTAAAAATTATTACATTAAATTCTTTTAAAAAGGTTTTTTTGGTGCAAAATATACTTTTCCTGAAACTTTGATTGCTTAGTTTCATATGCATTTTATTTCTTACTAGTTATAAACGTTAAATATTGCTACAATTTTAGTTGTTTTACATTAGCAAGAAAGCAAACACATAAGATTCCATCAGCAGTCGAATACAGCATAAGCTCCTTGAATAAAACATATTGTAATATCGTAGATCGGGATTTAGATAGTGCAGTCATAAAACACAATTAGTAAAATTATTGAACTCAATTTCCGAACTGATACAATTGTTTACCGTCTACATAGATTTTGTTAACATTTTTTACTTTATATCATCATATGTAAATGCACATGAACGACAAAGCGTAATTAAAGTCTTGCGCTCCCGTTTGAATTAGAATCGTGCACATTTTTTCAAAGTAAAATAAGTTCGCTACCTATAACAAAAGAAAAAAAGATGCATTTTGGTTCAGTGTTGGCAGTTTTAAACTAAATCAATGATTTCTTACCTTTACAAACATACAGCCCCATGCACAGTCAATAATTACCACATTCAATTTTTTTGGCAAGTTTATGCCAAATCGCACGAGAAACTATGATGAAACTATTGATTATTAATAATATACATGAAAATATTTTTTAATTCTGTTGATTTTTAACTTCAGCGTATGTATTTCAGCCGGCAAGTTATTAATACAAATTTACACTGGTATTTACTAAAAATTGCCCTGCTCTAAACCATTCAGAATTGAGAAATTTTTCATGTATAAATAATACACGTGAGTACTTATGTTTAGAAATTACAAATTGCTATTATTTCATATCTGTTATCCTCCTGATTTTGGCATCAGATCTTCTGAATTCATACGACTGTATCGCCTCTTCGATTCCTAAAAAAACGGCGAGAATCTTCTGGTTGGTTCATTCTCTTTGTTCTTCTGTAAAGACTCCTGGCTCTCTTTACAATTTAGTTAGACAATTGCAGCAGCTCATTCAATTATAACAGTGACGTAGCCAGTGGCGTGGTGGCAGGGGGGCCAGGAGAGCCAGTGCCCCCCTAGCTGTTGATTTTGGGGGGCGCTGAATTGAATACGAGTCATCGAGTGTTAAAAATGGGCTATAAAAATTAAAAACGCATTTAAAACAGAACAGTTATTTTCACAGTTATATATTCAGTGAATGAAGTTAACTTTAGGGAATTAAGGAAAAAGTAGACAGACCAAAATGAAACCTTGTAAGGGGGTCGATTAAAGAATAAGGTATTGACGTGCTTTCTATAATTAGATGTTTCGTTTGTGGCCACAACGCCTGCATGATTTGTCACGATGACTGTAGACAATATACATGCAGGGGAGAAACTAGAACTCTAATTGGGGGGTGTGAATATTCATATATTCTGCCTTGCCCTGCTGATTTCTATAGAATTTAACATCGCCAACAAAAGAAATCAACAGCAAGGCAGAGCTGAATATATGAATATTTACACCACCCCCCCAATTAGCATTCTAGTTTCGCCTATGCATACACGGCCAAATTGTCCTCTAAAGGGACGCAACAAGGCCTAAAATGTGTAATTTTTGCCTATCTTAATCAATAATGTTTTCTACTTCAGACTGTAATCGTTAATCCTTAATCATTCTGCCGACGAATAAAGTCATTAAAAAAAATATGCATATCAAATTGCAAAATCGTTTACCGTGTTTCATGAAAAGTACTGCATTATTAGCATTGTTATTTACATTTAGCGATGTTCAGTGTTACATTCTTATGATATCAACCTTTTTATCTTTAACTGTTCTAAACACTTGGCGATCTCAAATGTTGAACATACGGCAAAATTAATTGCATTAAGCATTCACGCTTTCAACATGTTTACAAGATCAACAATGAAGTCATTTTGAGCAATGTTATAAGAAAATCTACATCACAAAAGATAATTTGATAATGAAAATTTCAGTTGTCATGTTACCTTATGAATCAAATGTACATCTCATCATGGGCAATGTTGGCGTGTTTTGTAATTAATCTTTCAAACACCACATAGAGGATAATTCATTTCTCGAGTTCGAAGTTTAAAGAAAGCTAGACAAGAAGAATTTTCAAAACTTGGGGAGTTTGCTTGATTACTTTAAAATACAAAATGACCCACCTTGCATTTTTCACAACATGCAGAGTTAGAATTAAAACTCAGGAAACGCCGAACATCAGGACCCTTAAACATGGCTCACGTAAAATCTGTGTCGACAGATGTGCCTTCCCTGTGTAAGATCCTTCAAATACTTGGCAAAGAGTAATGCTTGAATTACCTTGGCCTTCAACAAAATTCAACACAGATAACTTGCTACGTAGAGACAACTAAATGAATACATGAATGGCAACAGCATGGTAGTGGGTAAAATATTCGTGATTAGAAAGTAAGGATTGGTTAGCACAAAGCAGTGTAAGAATCAAGAGTGATTCATCATAATTGCTCATAGGTATGACCTCATTTAAAGCAAATCATCCATTACAGCAGTGAGCTTGAAGATGTTAATATCAATCAAATTTCACAAAAACATTTCAGAAAATTTTGCTTTCAACAACTTATCAAACAAATTTTAAGTTAATACGCAGCATGGCTTCTAGTTACCTACGTCATTTCCGGTGGCTACATGAAGTCACTCTCCGTTCTTAGCATCACACATGGGGTCTTTTGAAAATTTAATCAAGGAATAAGAGAATTAAGATACGGAATCCAAAGGTAAAATATCATGGTTGTCCTCTTTCAAGTTTTCAAAGCAATGTTTGAACTACAAAAGAACATTTAAATAATTGAGCTGGTTGAAGGAAAAGAGATTGAATTTTCATCAACGAAATACTAACTTTCGGTCACTTGTTTTTCTCCAAAATATTATTGATCGTTTTTGGTGTCATAAATTGGCCAGTTTCAATTGATCCTAAACATTTTGCACCTACATCCCATTTCGTCAACGTCAAACACTATGGGAATGGACTATGCATGTTCTATTGCCTTGCTCATCAATGGGTTTCAGTCTGGCCAGGGCAGCAAATTGTTCACTTGATAAATCATAGTCCACGCTTATGGCGTCGCGAAAGTTCGTGCCAACGCGCGAACGTAACCATTCGCTTTAAAATGCACAAAAGTTCCAATGCAAACAACAGAAAACTTAGAAAATTAAGCTCATATTCATATATTCATATGTTAAAATCTGTCTAAACGTATTGATTTAAAGAAACCAATCAAGAGGAAGATGCTGTATGAATATCTTTCTACTAAATCAGCAATTTTCCATGGTTTACGCGCTTTTCTCAAAGCAAAATGGCGAGTTTAAGAGGCATTGGAGGCTCGGAACCTTTTATTTATATTTTCAGAACTAAAGCAATTATTGCAAGCAGAGTTATCATTTCAGAACACATATTTTTGACAATATCGACGGTTTAGAGCGCATAAATTAGCGATCTTTCAGATACTGAGGACATTGTTTTCACGTTAAAACAGAGAGCATTAAATCTATAAATGATTTTGATATGGCGAGTTTTATGATATGCACCAGTTATCCTTTTATTTAAGTCGACTTCAGAGTTTCTTTCATAACCTTATCAACGACCTTCAGAATCAGATACCTTATACTCCAACCTACAATTGCCATAGAAGGTACACAGGCACAAGAAGTCAACGACTCGAAATATCTAAGAGATTAGTAGAATTTCTTAGGAATTGCCTTTTCTTGGACTAGAATTGCTGAATTATTGGGTATCTCAACAAAAACTTACAACGAAGACGTGTAGAGTTTCAAATTGATGTAGA